TAGGGACCTTGCCTAAGAGCCCGCGGCTGTTAGATGGCTGAGTGAGGTCTCAGGTCAGGCATGCTGCTCTTAGCGACAGAAGCTACCGTGGACCAGCCCTGTTAATGCGGCCTGCATGTCCCCGTAGGAGTACCTCAGAGACTGTAAATGCAGTCCTACCTAGGGACATGCCCCCCACCCATAAACACAATAGTTTCAAACCCACCTGAAGTCTGATCCTCTCTAGGAATGACTTCCCCCAAATTATTGTTTTCAGAATTAGACCCTTTATACCTGAAACATGCCTAGCACTGGCAGGCCCTCTAAATATACTTAGTGCATCAATTAGTGGCCCTTGGTGTCACTGGTTTTCCAGTCCCAGATAAGATCAGGTACTCCACAGGTCCTTCAGTGAGGTGGAGGCAGGAATGGGAAGAAGTTTCAAAAGCCCGGATGCAGCCCCTTTGGGGCGGCTGTACTGGGGTCCCACCGCCTGGGAGGCTCAGCAGATCTCTCGTGGTAGTCTTGGAAGATTCAGATCTCATTCTCTGTACTTTCTTTCCAGGAAGCAACTGTGCCTCTCTTATCTATGGAATGGGTGCCCCTGAGACTAGTGATTATAGGGTCCCATTGATGCCAGGGCTCTTTCCAGGAGGAACTGGGTCAAATGGGAGCCACCATGTTCCACTGGAACTGCATTCCTGCCCATCAGTCTTGCCGCGGTGCTGAGCCAGATCCTCCAGGCTGACTCCTGCCTCCCTCCCTGCGTCCTTCTTCCCCTCCTTCCCTCTCTCTCCCACTTGGAGACATTCCCCCACCCCCAGCCTTCCTTCACACTCTGATATCCACTGGTGTCTCTCAGCACATCGGAGCCTCTGAAACCCAATTAGGTAGAGAATTCCAGTTTCTTCCCACACTGTTTCTGGGTCCTACTCACATCCTCGGATGTGACCAAGCCGCTTCCCTGACAATCACGGAAGACTTCAGGATATATAAAAGGCCTGATGGTAGGGGCAGAGCGCCCACCTTCTCTCAGGCCTGGCCCACCATTGTAACATATTGTACCAACTGAGTGGTTTTCCAACTTTATTGTTCACCAGAATCACCAGAAAAGCTTGTTCAAACAGGGATTGTCAGGCATTCGCTACCAGCATTTCTGATCTTGTAGGCGGTAAGGTGTGGCAAGAATTTACATTTCCAGCAAGTTCCCAGGTAGGACTATGCTGCTGGTCCAGAGACACACTGAGAACAGAAACCCAGTGTGGCTTTGATCCACCAGACAGAATTACTTCGGGGGAGTCAAGTTAATGATACTAAATTTTTTAAGCTTCTGGCTGTTCAAGGAAGGTGTCAGTGGGAAGAAACCCAGAGTCAAATGTTACATTTATATATACAAATCCATTATGAATGGCGATTGTTGCTCTAGTGAGTCAATGGTCAAATCAATACAGAATGCAAGAATTGATGGAGAGTATGATATGACTTTTATGAAGGTGTCTAGAGTAGCCCGTGAGGAAGTCATACCGAGTCTGCCAGACACTAAGATGAGCACCCTTCACTTGAACAATGTAGTTTTGTTTTTGTAGATTTCTGTACAGCATTCATGGCTAATGGCCATGAATTAGCATGAAACAGACATATACTCAGGTCAAGAGATTCATGCAGCGCCTTCCAGGAATGAGTACATGGTAAGTCAATTAGGCATAGCTTTAACCTCAACGTAAGCCGAGGCCAGAAGAGAAATCTGTCCACACTCATGAACTTCACTTACTTCTCTTTGGATCACCACTTCATTTGCAGAGAAGCCTATTGCCTCCCGAAAGGGGGGCCAACGGGACTTAAACTGGATACTTGTGGCAGGATTCTGGGCTATCAAGTCAGAACACTAGGAATCCCATCAGCAGTGACTATTTAGGTGTTAGGGAGGAAATGTGAGAGAACTTTGGGACAGTCGGGATGTTTTGACAGATAAATTACTCTGAAGCAAAGACAGAGAGGAGGGCTGCTGACCCCTAGTGGGGATGGGCTCTGGAAAGATGGGACCTCAACACCAAAGGCCTGTGCCCCAGAGTTGGTAAAGAGGGCCCTGGGTATGACGTGAAGGTGGTGAGGAAGTTCTCTAACTTATGTGGGAGAACTTGGCTTAAACTCTTCGAGCCAAAGGAAGGATGTCAAAAGCTGCAGAGCTGGAATTTTTTTTTTTTTAAGAAGCAAAAGTACAACCTGTTAAAGTTTGGTTCATGGAAGTAGGAGAAATCCTTTACCTGGAACAGAAAGACAAGAGCCACTTAGGAACTCCTGGAAATGGAAGGAGTGGTGATGATAGGTAGGTAACAGTGGTGGAGGCTCTTGGTCTCAACTAGAGGAAGATGGAGGTAGAATTAGAAGTGAAATATGGAGTGAACTTGAACTTGGGGATCTCTTAACAAAAGTGGAGCCAGATGGTTCTGTGGTTGTTATCTATATCCTGGAACATTATGGAGCCTGGCTTGTTCTGTGGAAAACAAAGGCCACTTTTTATTTTGTAAAATATGGAGAAGTTGCAAGAGTAGGACAAGGAACTTCTCAAAAAGAGTCTTGTGCCAGGCTGGTTTTCAGTATTTTTTTCTCAGTGGCTTTATTGTTTCTTATTCATCCACCTATCCAAACACACACACACACACCCCCTTACACATAAATATAAGATTTTCAAAACCATTTGAGAGTTGATTGGAGGTATCATACCCTTTATCTCTAAAGAAATCAGTGTATTTTTTCTAAGAACAAAGACATTGTCTTATATAATCATAGTATAATGATCAAAATCAGGAAACTCATTATTGATACAATATAATCTAAACTACAATGTCTCATTCAATTGCCCCAGTCATGTCCTTTACAGATAATTTTCTTCCTGGTTCAGGACCCAGCATCACTCAGTGCATTTAATTGTTCTATGTCTTTAGTGTCTTTAATCTGAAGCAGTTTTCAGTCTTTTTTTTTTCCTTGGCTTGACAGTTATTTCATACAATTTCTGTAACTTTGGTTGCCCTGATGTTTCCTCATGATTAAAGGGACAGGTTATACTTTGCAGGAGGGAATTCCAGAGAATTGCTGTGCCCTTATCATTGCCTTGTATAGCGAGCTATGAATGTCAGTTTGTCCCTACATTGGGGATGTTAACTTCTATCCTAATGGTTAAATAAATGGTGTCCACCGGATTTCTCCATTGTAAACTTACTATTTTTTTTGAAGGCCTCATTTAAAATGTCACAAGCATAAACAATAAATGGGGAAACAAAATCCACTAAAGACTTTGTTCTTTTTTTTTTTTAAGATTTTATTTATTTCATTTGAGAGAGAGAGTGAGAGACCTGGTGGAGGGGCAGAGGGAGGGGGAGAGAATCTCAAGCCAACTTCCTAGGAGCAGGAGCCCAAGGTGGGGCTCAATCCCATGACCCTGAGATCATGCATGACAAGGAGATCATGACCTGGGCGGAAATCAACACTTAACTGACTAAGCCATTCTGGAGCCCCAAGACTTCTTGTTTCTATAGATGATCTCTTCACCCTTCCCCACTTAAACCTTTTCCAGAGTCTTAATGATTTGGGGAGACTTTGAGCTAGAAGGAATCTTACATTTCATCTGTTTTTTTTCTGTTTCTCAAGTGTGGGATGCTAGGATTTTTATGTGCTTCCCATTTGTATTAGGCTTAATTATTCCATGCAGAGGATCTTCATTTCAATGATCTCTCCAGCCTTCTGAGTACATGAAGTAGAAAGGCTAGGTTGGGTGCTAGGCTATCTTGAAAATTTCAAATAGTTGATGATGCTTCCCTACTGTTTTGTAGGGAAGGCCTTTGGAAGGCCTTTGGTTCATAGTCTCTGGTAGGTAAGAGTATAGGGTCATTCCACAGCATTTAAAAAATCACATTTATTTTTACAGTTACCTACTGCTCCTCATCGACAACTGGGCAAAATTCTAATTTACAGGATTAACAGTAATTTTCTTGCAAGCTTGCATTTAAAAGCGTGAAGTAAAATAAGTGAGTCAATTTGGAGAATTGACATGGAGACGATGAGGAGACGTGGCCCACAGTTGTGAAGACCACGGAGGAAGTGCTTACCTTTGGGGATATTCTGACTTAGGAATTTAGGTCAAATTCCTTAAAGGATATGGACAGTCTGGCCCCACTGATTCTTCCAGGACCGTCTTCCTCTCGGGAACTGGACTTTACAGGCAAAGAACCGACTCTGGCAAGCAACCGAATAGGCCACAAAAAGGTCCGGGAAACCATATACCCTGGGTGGACAGTACCCTGTGGACTCCAGGTGACAGGCTTCTGAGGCACCTGCCCTCCCATCCCGCTTCTGTGGCTCACTAGTTGGGGGTCGGTGGGGGTCCTCACTTTTTCTGATGCTGGATTGTTGCATCCGTGAGAGGGGGCGGGAAGAAATGGTGCACCACTCAAACCTCTGTTAATCTCTACAGCGACAGGTGTATAAGGCGCCAAGCGCAGTGCACCACACAGCATCAGGAAATGTAGCCTGATACATCGTGGTTCCAATTCTTTTGTGGGAACAAGGACAGGGCATAAGGAGAGGCCCGGAATGGTGACCAGGAGGGGACTTTTCTCCTGTCCCTTCTCCTTGGAAACTCAATGGGCCACAGTGTGCGCGGCCAGCACTCCGTAGAGTGCTTTGTCCGTTGTGAAGTCACCCTGACTGAGAACGGGAGGGGCCCCCGTCCCTGCGCAGCCCAGGCACCGACGGTGCAGACGGAGCGAGGGTGGCAGCGCTCTCTTCAGCGACGCGCCCTGGAGCCCTCGTCTCCCCCTCTACGAACAAGCAGGCAGGTCCGGACACCCGCAGCGGCAGGGCGTGCTCCCTGGCCGCGCCTCGCCGAGCGGACGCCCCCCAACCCGCCACGGGTCGCCGGCGCGGCAGACCCCACTCCCGAAGTCTGTAAGCCCAGCTCCGCGCCCTGGATGCTCGCGCATGCGCGCCGAAGCACAGCTGCTGTTTGGCTGTTTCCATGGCTACGAAGAGCGTCGACCAGGGGTCTGGGAAGGAGAAAATGAAGCTCAAGGGCCTCCTACTCCGGTATTACCCGCCAGGTAGGAGCCGGGCCTCCTCCGTGCTGGCGTGGGTGCTGGGCTCTGGCCTTGGGAGGCTCCAGGGCGGTGGAAGGTGCGGGGACTCGAGGGGCCGGCGGAGTCCCCTAGCGGGTGATCCATGTAGGGGACAGAGAGCCAGGCGATTCCCAACAGGGCCCCTTGCTCCTTTGGTTGTTGAACACTGTTACTCAAAACATTTAAAGTGACTTTTTAGGAATTCTTTAAACTTTGAAGTTGCGGAGTTATAATGCTTTTCTGGCTAGTTAGGAATGGGGCGAATGGGGAGGGAGAGGTGGTGATCAGTGATGTCCCTAGAGATTGGTATCCGGAAGGGAAGACACTGACAAGGAGCACATTGCTTTTTATTTTAAACAGAGCAGAACGATCAAGTCAAGATATGTTGAGTATGAAAAGGAAAATGCATATGCAACAAAGCATATTAATTGAGTATCCGCATTCCAGACCATGCTTATCAGTTGACCAAACACGTTTATTGAGGGCCTGCCACCAGGCGCCCTGTGCCCCAGGGCTTTCAGCTTAAAGGTCACAGTCCTTGATTCCAATGAGCTGAGGAATTTCAAAATACACCCACAGAACCCTGTAGTTTTAGAGTGGGACAAACTTGTCTAGTTGTCTTGTTTCACAGGTGAGGACATGGTCACCTTTGAAGAATGAGTGAAGACCACTGGTCACCCAACTCATTAGGCACAGAAATAAGGGGAGAACTCTTGGTTCCAATTCAGAGCTCACTTTAAAAATAAGAATAGGGGCGCCTGGGTGGCTCAGTGGGTTAAGTGTCTGCCTTGGGCTCAGGTCATGATCCCAGGGTCCTGGGATGGAGCCCCTCATGGGGCTCCCTGCTCAGTGGGGAGCCTGCTTCTCCCTCTCCCTCTGCCTGCTGCTCCCCCTGCTTGTGCTCTCTCTCTCTCAAACAAATAAATTTTAAAAATCTTTAAAAAAAATAAAAATAAGAAGAATATAAAATTAAAAAGTCTACAAAACTTGCCACAAAGCAATAGATGACCAAATATCCTTGCGGGATGAGAAGACTGGGCTTCCCTGCAACAGGAGGCCTGGCATTAACTCTCACCCATGTGAAGTTAACATTTGTAGTAAAATCATAACTCATTTCCTCCCTCTTACAATTACAATTAAAATAACATGAAAAGGCCCTAGATGTGAGAGGTAGCACGTGGGAAATTGTAAATAGCTTGTTCTCTCGATGCATTCACAATTTTGGCTATGCTTGGTGTAGGCTGGGGCTGGTTCCCATAAATAGACGGGCATGTGAATGACTGGCTTTCATTCATCCCTTTGCTGTGGAGTGTAGGTTAGGAAGATGAGCTCTGGGATCATAATATCTGGCTCTCACCGTATATAGATTTTGTAGCTTGGGCAATTTGTTTCAATCCATCAAGTCACATGTTGGTAACAACACCCATCCTAACCTGTCTGTTGACCCTTTGCAGCTACTCCCCCATTTATCTCTTTCCCTTCAGAGCAAACCTCCTTGGAAGAACAGCGTCCCAATTTCTCTTCTCTTTTGTCTTGGACTCACTCCTGTCGTGTTTCCCCCCTCATGGCTCCCCTGAAACTGTGCTCTTCAAGATCCTCAGTGACCTCCAACATCACTCAACCCACTGGCCACCTCTGCCTCCTTCTTGTCCTGACCTGACAGCAGCATCTAATGCATTTGACCACTCTGTCCCTTGCTTCCAGGACACACTGGTTTTTAATCCCACTTTATTGTGGCTCCTTCTTCATCCATCTTATTGGTGTCTCTTTCTTCTGATCTTAATGTTAGAGTGTCCAAGCACTCTGCCCTTTGACTTCTCTATCTATACTCATCGGTTAGGTGATCTCATCTATTTTCTCTGTTTAAAATCCTGAGGGAGTAGTCCTGAGTACCTCATGGCCTGCCTGATTGTTCACTTGGATACGTAATATGCGTCCTCTGCTTTTTTTTTTCTTAGCGCTATCTCAGGGCAACGTACCACAGTTTTACCTATGTATTTCACCTGGTCACCCCAACTTAAAAAATAAAAGCTTCCTGAGGTCCTGGACTTCGTCTATTTTGTTTATTAGTGTATCTCTAGCACTTAGAGTAGATGAAGATGGGTCAATAAAGACGAGCTCACATATTTGTTGAATAAACAAGTTTAATGAGATAAGGTATGTTGAGTAGAATGCTTTCAGCTCCTTCTGAAGTGGGAATAGGTGAGACAGATGATCTGTAAGATCCACTCCAGCTCTGAAAGTCCAGGATTCCAATGGCAATCTCCCATTCAATAAGGCTTTGGACTTAAACTTGCAACTATTGCCTTAATGATTATCTTCGAATGAAGTCATATCACTTAGCATGTTAGATACTTAATTTCTGAATTCCAGTCTTTGGTGAGCCATGCGTTATATGCAAGTTTCCAAGGTACTACTGAATAGCAGGTGGGTGTTGAAATAACATTATCAAGGAGGAAAAAAATCACTCACCACTGAATCATTCTTGTGTTACCTTTATCCCTTCTGCAATTTTGTTTAATCTCTTAGTCCCCAGATTTCAGTCCTCCTACTTTCTTTTGAATAACATATGGGTCAGGAGCATTCCACCATTGGCATCCATGGAATTTGTCCCTCTGCCTCCTAAAAGTACATGGCTGTAATATGGCTAATCAAGCATGGGCATTCTCTTTTTATCTCATTCATTAATTCATAAGCTCTTCACTTCACGAAGAGTAGGTGTTGCATACATGCTTTTCAACTGACTCAGGCATGACAGTCTTTGTCTTTTACTTCTTGTGTGTAGGCCCCTAGTGTTTTGGACCATGAGAAGGAGTTAAGTAAACATTAATTAGACTCATTAATATTCTGAGCACTCTAAGGGTCTTTGTTGGTTGAATGTGATCGGAGTAAGGAACACTCACATCTTTTGAAGCTTAGTCTTATAGTACGTTGCAGAATTTGCCGGGGAGAAGCTTCTTAAGTGTTCTTGGGAATCCTACCTACTGCACAAAAATCCATGGAGAACATTAAGATACTGTGGGCAACGATCACTGAAGAACAATATGCGCTCCGGGGAGCATCTTTGTCTGTTTTCTGCTTGTGTTCTTCACTATGCATGTCCCAGCTTCTGCCTCAATACTGCTGCTCAGTGGTCATGGGGAGGGTGAGCATTTGACCTTGATGTTTTTTAACAGCAGAACCGTCCAATGCACAGGTTTCAGATTTTGCACTTTGTTGTCTAAATCCATCCGTATAGTAACCCAGCTAATTTTTAGTAGTCGACTTTAAAGACTTTCAACATTTTTTATTTTATAAGAAACAAGATAACTGTGAAAAAAAGAATGCAGTATTTTGTGAATTTGCTAAAATTATTTAGTGCATCTCCTTAGAATAATGCTAATTCTTTTCAACCTTTCTCTGAGTTACAGATTAAGATTATATAATTTACCTACTGTTTACACATCATTTATTTACTCAACTATTTATAGAATGCCTACTTTCCTTGAGAATAAATAGTGCATATTGAGGACTCATATATAATGAAAAATACTTAAAATTACAGAACAGGAAGGAAACAGTCCTTAATGATAGTGATACCTTAAGCTGATAGAAACTTCATATGTTATTTGAGCTTTCAAATAACCTTATGGAGATCTTGATCTTGATCTTCAGGAGTTTATATGTTAATAATGTTAATCTCTATCATTTTTCTCCCTTTTCCTCCATGTTCTAATTTTTTTCTCTCTCTCTTTTTCTATCTTAAGAGTAATATTTACTTTTAACAAAATTCTGAAAAGCACATAAAAGGATAACTAAGAGCATGCTCAACCCACTGAAGGTATGATGGCTTCTTTTTTTTTTCTTTAAAGATTTTATTTATTTATTTGACAGAGGGGAGGGATCACAAGTAGGCAGAGAGGCAGGCAGAGGTGGAGGGGGGGAAGCAGGCTCCCTGCTGAGCAGAGAGCCCGATGCAGGGCTCGATCCCAGGACCCTGAGATCATGACTTGAGCCAAAGGCAGAGGCTTAACCCACTGAACCACCCAGGCACACTGGTATGATGGCTTCTTGAAAGGAGCCACCTGACATGTCTACCACCAGTAAGAACTCCTATTTCCTCAGGCACCCTGGTATGATGGCTTCTTGAAGCGAGCCACCTGACATCTCTACCACCAGTAAGAACTCCTATTTCCTCAACATGGCTAGTATTTAGTATTATCAGTCTTTGCCATCTTTGCAATTCTGATGAGTAAAAATTATATCTCTTTTTGTATTTTGTATTTCTTTTCCCAGTTAAAATATTGGGAATATTTTATTTTTGTATATTTATTGACCATTGTTGCTCTCTGTTTGCAAACTGGCCTTTCCTGCCTTTTGTCCATTTTCTTCTTAAAAATCATTTTTAGGCTTCTTTATAGTAAGTTCTTTAAGCTTTGTATTTATAGTTGAAATTTTTTTGCTGATTATCATTTATCTTTAATTTTGTGGTATCTTTTCCCGTATAAAAGCTTCAATTTATTTCAGACAAATGCATCATTTTTTTCTTTTTTAGGTGTTGAGTTTCACATCATGCTTAAAAAGCCAGTTTCTGGGCGCCTGGATGGCTCAGTGGGTTAAGCCTCTGCCTACAGCTCAGGTCGTGCGTGATCTCAGGGTCCTGGAATCGAGGCCCAAATCAGGCTCTCTGCTCAGCAGGGAGCCTGCTTCCCCCTCTCTCTCTGTCTGCCTCTCTGCCTACTTGTGCTCTCTTTCTCTGTTAAATAAATAAATAAAATCTTTAAAAAAAAAGCCAATTGGTTACACTAAGATGTAAATATATTCTATTATTTTGACCATTTTGTATTTTGTTTTTAATATTAAAATTTCAAATCACTCTAGAATATATTTTTGTATCTTGTGTGGTAGCAATCAGTTTTATAAATTTTTCCAAAATCCAACTTATTATTATATCATTATTTATTGCATAATTTATTTTTCCCCATTAATTTAAAATATTACCTTCAGTTTATTTTTAAACTCCCATATATAAGTGATTCTTTTATGTTGATCTAAGTCACACTTATGTTGACTGGAGTCACACTTTTTTGTTTTACAGTTTGTTATAATATATGATAAATTTTCAAATTCCAAAAAATAAAGTCATTATAATTTCTTTAATCCATAGATTGATTTGACATGTTTATAATATTACATTTTCTCATCTAGAAATGTGTGTCCTCATTTATCACAGTTTTCTTTTATGTTCCATAGTACAACTAGGCCTTGCACATTTTTTGTTAATTTTATATTTAAGTGTTCAATGCAATTATAGATGTGATCTTTCCTTTACTTGAACCTTCCCTTGTCAATGCATCTAATTCTTATTACTTCCAATCTTCACTTTTTGAATTTTATTTTTTTTAAGCCCTTTTAAATCTTTTCGAGAACACGTGACATATAAATAGGTTTTTAAAAAGATTTTCACAATGTTGTAATTTTTTGAAAAGGTTAGTTACAGTTGTTTGCCTGCTGTGTCCGGGTGCTCTGGTCATTAAAAGCACATGGAATGATTTTTTGGTTCTAAAACCTTATACTTCATTACACAACAGCTGCTTGGGTTTACCTACTTAAGTTGTGCCAAATCCGTGCAGCATGACTGTGTTGAGATGAATTCCTCCCGAGCGTGCAGCTGTGCTGTCGTGTGAGTGGTGACGTCTGACCCTGGGAAATAAGCTCTGTAGGAGAAGCAGGATTGAGGAGGAAGATCCAGGACTTGTTTGAGGTACTGGTGAGATACACATGCATCTAGAACGCAGAAGTTTAGATGGGAGAATTACAACTGTAATTGTTGGCATACTGATGGTAATCAGAGCCATGGGTACGGGTGAATTTATACAGACAAAAAAAAAATGTAAAGTGAAGAGAGAATTCCTAGACCTGAACCCTAACCTAAAGCAGTATTTAAAGGTCAGTTGTAAGAGGAGGAATCCATAAAGGAGAATGAAAAGTAACAAAGTAGACATATTTAATAAAAGCCAATGGATAATTGTATCTGAAGAAGGAGATTTGGTCATAGTGTTGATTATTTTGAAAGTCCGTGTCATAAAGATAAGGACTATCAATTGCATTAAGCATTCTGGGGGTACTTATCCAATCATCTGTCAGTTAGCTCATGTATTCAACAAGCTCTGTTTGAACAGTTCCTGTACACCAGTTTCATGGTAGACACTAGGGATAAAGAGAAGACAGACCCAGGAGGGCATCGTCTGGTGAGTCAGGTGTGGAGAGGATGGAAAACAGAAAGATCATAAAGACAACGGGGAGGGGCAGACCCCTCTGAGGGAGAAATGAAGGCCAGAGAGGGGAAGGTGTAAATCCATTTGACAGTGTTGCTTGTACTTGAAACTGGCCAAATCATGTGCTTACTGTGTGTAAATCATCACGACTCATTCCAAGGGGGATATCTTACACTTCCTCCTGGAAGTATAAAGAAGCATATGGTTTTCTTCTCAAAGATGTTACAGTCTCACCAAAGAGAGAAGGCATAGATGTAATTTAAGTAATACAAGGTGACTATGTGTCACAAGGCAGTATTTGATTATTCACTAGATAATAAGAAATAGTTAATGAGTTTCTAGATGCCAGGTGCTTTATATACATATTATTTAATTTCAACCAGAAAAATGAAAGTATTATCTATAAATGAGAAGACTGAGGTATAATGAGATTACTAGTATCATGAAATAAGTAGGGACTTGAGCTGGAACTCAAACCTGGATCTGTTTGATGCCACGTACATGCCTTTTCAACTCCACCTCATTCTATCTCAATGGTTCAGTGCTCTAGAACATAAATATATGTTTGATGGAATTTCCTATTTTCTATTGATCTAAAATACTTCTAGAATCACATCTGTTATATCAAATATATGATCTTAGGGAAGCGATTCTCACATTGTAGGAGGACCCTTGGGGGCTCTTGTGCCTTTTCAGTGGGGCCTCAAGGCCGAACCTCTTTCCATAGTAACAATAAGATACCTCTTGGTTTTTTCACGATGTTGACATTTGCATTACTGGTTACAAAAGCACTGGGAAGTGAAATCTCTGGAAATTTAACTCCACTTCAGGCAGTGGCAACAAATTTTCATAGTGGTCATTGTATTCCTCACTGACACAAACTGGTGATAGGACAAAGACCTCCTGAGTTTCACTTAGGAATGCCCTTGATGAATTGGTAAAACTTAATAACATAGTCAAAATCTGACGTGGGAGTACTTGCATTCTGCCTGATGAAATAGAAAGGTCTCATTAAGCATTTCTGCTGCACAGAGATGTTTGATAGTTGTTTTGAGGAAAACACTTGTATGGTCATGTGACTGAGAGATGAACCAGCCGTTTTCTTCATGGAACACCAATTGTACTTGAAAGACTGAAAAACAAATGCGGCTTTCAGACATGGACATTTGGAAGACATTTTGTTTGCAAATGAGCAAAGTGAGCCAGGAACTTTGAGGCCAAACTGTCAGCATTTCTTGCCAGTTATAATATTTGAGCCTTCAGGCAAAAATGAGAATTTCAGAAAACTTGGATCTATCATCATGAGTTGGGCAGCATACCGACCCTGAAAGAGTTTTCTGATGATAGATATTCGTAGTGATATTAACAAATGTGATTTTTTGGGGGGCTATTGTGTGATGATATATGTCAACATTTAGAAGATGTGTATAACTCAGTAAACAAATATTTTTCAGATGTCTGATGCATGATCTGAATATTTTTCAGATATCTGATGCATAATAAATCATACATGAATAAAAGATCCTTTGAAAGTGTGAGATAGACCAATGGATTTTAATATAACAGAATATGAAGAATTAATTGATGTGGTTTCAGATTCTATATTACAACAAATCTTTATGAATTACTAGTTATTAAGTTTTAATGCAGTATTAAAGAAGATTATCTACAATTACCTGGAAATGCAATTAAAATAATTTCTCATTTTCCAACTACATATCTGTGCATGACCAGATTTTTTCCCATATACTTCATCTGAAACTCTGTGTAGGAACCACTTGAACGCAGAAGCAGAGATGAGAATCCAGCTGTCTTTCAATAAGCCAGATATTAAAGATACATGCTAAAGTGTAAAATGATGCTACTCTTCTTATTTTATAAAATGTTATGTACATTAGCATGCTATGACTTTATTATTATTATTTTAAAGCAGTTTAATAAATAATTTAAAATTTCTCAATTTTAATACGGAAAATATTACAAAAACAAAACCTCTTTGGTGTGTTCAATAATTTAAAGAGTATAAAGTGGTCCTAAGGCCAAAACTTTTGAGATCCACTGGCCCATATTTATAGAGGTAGTACAGTAAAGTGGGTAAGAGACTCTTTATTTTTTTTTCTCCTAATAAATTATCTCTCTGTTGTTCAGAATGAATATATTCTATTGATCTGTCTTCAAGTTCACTGATTCTATCCTTTGTCATCTCCATTCTCCTACTGAACCTATTTAACAAGTTTTTCATTTTGCCCATTGAACTTTCTCATTCTATAATTCCCATTTAGTTTGTTTAAAAAAACTTTTATTTATCTGGGATTATTTTATTTTTTCATTTGTTTCACATGAATTTGTAAGTGGTTGTTTTTAAGTATTTTTGACATCTCCTTTAAGGAGGTAGTCAGATAATCCCAGCATCAGATTATACGTGTTTGTTGATCATCTTCCTCTGGTTCTTGGTGCGATGGGTGGTTTTTTAATTATATCCTGAGTATTGGGGTCTAGTGATTGTCTTTTCCTGTTTATTGTATCCTGGACATTTTGGTTCTTACATTAGGAGACTCTTGATCCTATCTGAATCTACTTTGACAGACCTGTCACCATGTTTAGATTTAACATAGAGGTTCTGTCTAGCTTGTGGGCTTCAGTTCCAATGGTAGCTTAAGTTTATGAGCCCTTGCAATGTTATTCTGGTCTGCTTCATTTTTTTGGTGCTGCAAGGTCTCTGGCTCAGTTCTAGCTGGTGCCATCTGCAGGGTAGAAGGTACTTCCCAATATGCCTGCTCTCACTGAATAACCTTCCAGGACAGTGTGGGGGACAAGACTCTAGTCCTGGTGACACCATTGGTTGAAAGTCAGGAAGAGACCATTTCGGTACCTGGTTGTAGAGTGGGGTCCAGGATATCCCAGGACTTCATTGTTGTCCCTTCTGAGGGTGGATAAGGCTGCCCACCAATGATTTGGTTGTGAAATGGGTTTTGAGTGATCCTGGGACTTCCCAGTGGCTGCTAGACAGATTGGATAGCCCCCCTAGGGCCCCCACTGAAGATATTGAGGAGGCCTGGGTCTTTGTGGCCAGGCTGCTGCAGGCAGATCAGATTACTGGTGGGGCCCAGCTTTGCAGGGGGACTGGGACAGGGTTTCTTTCCACTGGGGGATCAAACTGCCTAAGGATCCCCAGTTATGGAGCAGTGTTTGGGGTTCCCCATTAGTTCTTTGTCTGACTTCCCTTTGTCTGGTCCTTTGGCCACAGACAGCAAACTTTGCTATTACTTGATTTTTGTTGTCTATGCTTTTTGGTGGTTCCAGGCAGCAAGTTGCTCTTGTTTCCAGTTGGGGGTATATAGGAGATAAACAGAAAATCCAGGGAACTCATCACACTGTCATTGCTCAAGTCCTGAGACCTCTAGCCAGTCTACCCTCTATCCAACCTTCAATTATTTTAACATTGCCTGTTGAGTAATTTCAAGGGTGTGTAGCTGTATTTAGAGGAAGCACTAGGAAAAAGTGAGTTCACACTATCTTGTTTTAGAATCAGACATCACTGCACATGTTTTATGCAGAGAAATTCTAAAAATTAAAAAAACAGAAATGAAAAAAATTATGGCAAAGTAGATTAACTTTTGACATTGTTGTCATCCTAAGTGGTTTATAACATGTTTGTTTATTTTTATAGGAATTATGTTGGAATATGAAAAGAGTGGAGAATTGAGGACCAAATCCATAGATTTGCTCAACCTCAGTTCCAGGTAAACTAGCTACTCAGTGCAACCTGGGCTTCATATCCAGATTTTTTTTTACTGGAAAACGCTGACCCAGGATGATGTGTGGATGAGCTGCATGAACTCAGATTGCTAGAACAATGTTCTAGTGGTGCTGTATTAATTCCTGCTTGCTTCAGTGAGGTCCGCTTGAATGTCTTGCTGGGTAGGGAGGAGGTGGGAAAAGGATAGTCAGTCTGCCCTTTTTTTCACCCTAAATAGACCTGTTTTTATTGTTTTTAATCTTTTAGTTCAGAATAGTTTTAGAAAACTGTGAAGACAGGAGTTCCCACATACCCCATGCCCTGCATCCCCTATTATTAACATCATACATTTGTGTGGTACATTGGTCTTAACCAGTGACCAGGTACTGAAACATTCTTGCTAACTAAAGACCATATCTTAGTCAATTTTCCTTGTTTTATGTTTTTCTTCTATTATCTCTTTCTTTTCCAAAATACCACATTACATTTCATTGTCAAGTCTCCTCAGGCTCCTCTTGGTGAATGATCTCTCAGACTTCCCTTCTTTTTGATGAACTTAACATTTTTGAGGAATACTGGTTATTGGAATTTTAAGAAGATAATGGAGCCTGTTACTTTCCTGGTAGATAAACAGCTCACAGGACTGATTGCATTCCGTCCTACTCATTAATTGTCATGGGGCAGAGTTAGGAAATCCTCTTATGAGAGCATACTGCCCAGAAGTCATTCTCTTTAGGAAATCCTATGCAAAACTAAAAAAAAAAAAAAAAAAAGAAAAAAGAAAAAAAGAAAAAAGAAAGAGAGAGAGAGGAAAAAAAGAGAAAGAGAAAGAAAGGGAAAAAAAGAAATCAATCCTAGGCAAAACTCCACTTTGAGAGACAGAATCAGATTAGTGATTATCCTGCAGAAACCCATGTTTAGATAAAGTAAAGATAGTTTGAGTGGGAGAAAATTTTCAAATAGAACAAAAATACCATGAAGAACAAAAATACCATGATACCTGTTTCAGAGTTGTTGACCCAGAGAAATAAGGGATTTCCCATTGTGACTGTCCTTCTCCTTTGTCATGATTATAGGGGAGGAGAACAGAAACTGATAGCCAAGGGACCTCTCACAAAACTGTAGTTAAATAGTAGATGAGCTGCTCTTGAGTTTTGAAATGAGCCCAGACAACATGGCTTCTCAGAACTGTGGCCACTAGAGAGGTCTAGAGCTTGTCTGAGGGTGAGGACAGGGAGTGGCTCGGGTGGTGATGGTTTACGCTGAGTTCTCTTCTTGTTCCAAGTGACCACACAAAGAAGGTACTCAATCGTTTATTGTTTAACCAAAGAATAAATAGTGGCAAAGATAATGCCATTGAATTTCACGTGGAAGTCATTGTTTTATCTATTTTCAGGGAAGACAAGGTCTAAGATCAAGTCAGGATTGTCAGTTATTTTTGTAACTGGCACATGTTACTGGTTATGCCAGCGTGTAGAAAGTTCCTTTGTTAGACATTCATTTATTCGTTTTTATTTATTGAGTGTGTAATGAGGTTATCTGCACCTTCTACATGCAAAGCTCTAGGTTAGGGTCAATGAGAAGCTATAAAAAATCTTAATCCCGACCTCAGTGAATGTGTTTTCCAGTTTGAGAAACAACTTGTACTGAGTGGGGACATCATGTGAGTGACACAGATTAATGTTTATATGAGAGAATAACTTTCAGCTAGAGAGGCAGAAAAATACAGATTTTATATTTAAAAAGGTATAGGTCCTTAAGATGCAGTAGTCATGCTTTGTAGTGTATAAATGTCAAGTTAAAAAAAAAAGTATGGATGTTACTTCTGGTTCTGCTCAAGAATTTAGAAGAATTCTGCACATAAAAATATTTGCAAGATAGGGAACATTCTGGAGTTACTATATTGGAAAAGAACAGTTAGAATTCCACAGGCTTGGGATGTACAGATTAAATATCTGTACATCTGGTGAATATCTGGTGAATTTAGATCTTGCTGGGAAATCTGTTTTGATTTATAACAATGGTCGGAAAACTTTCCAAGAGGCATTATCATCATCTTAATTCTTAGGAAAGTATAAGCCCTTGGACAACTGACTCTCTCAGAATTTATCAAAGTCATCATTATAAACTGCCTCTGATTCATTTCTGTTCTAAATATTCATTCTGATTCTGATACATTGTATTTCTTGAGAGCTGGGACTGTGTCTTTTACCCTCCCAGGGCCTAAGCAATAGTAGGGTAAATGTTAGTGGGATGACTAGTCTTCCAGCTCAGTCCCTTACATGGACGGGACCTCGGGAACTGTTTATTTATGAAAAGGAGAGGCTTGCTTATCTGAGTTTGCATTTCTGAGAAGCAGCTGTTGAGACAGAGGTAGGAGAGGTAGGTGGGTTATTGAGAAGTGACAATTGCGACAAACAGCTGATGAAGCAGAATTTGGCATGAGGAGCCAAAATGACCTATTTTGGTTGCTTTGTGGTTTATAGACATTACTCTTTGTCTTGAACAATTATTCCAGACTAGCAAAATTAATCAGCATTGCCATAGGTTATTTGAATATTGGGGGAAAGTTGAATTCATACTTCTCAGAGCAGCTTTTTTTTTTTTTTAAGAGAACGATGCTATAGTCCATATGAAATATTAATCATCATCGTTCTTTGAATGTCCATTTTTGGTTAGGTACTTTCTCTTTCCTTAAAAAATATTTAAAACTTAACCTTTCCAAACCTCAGTTTCTTCATCCCTGAAGTAACTATGATAAAAGCATTAAATTAAATTAGGGGGTTGTTTAAGCAAGAGAGCATATATAAGGTACAAAGTATAGTGGTACCAGGAACATTCTGTAGGGGTTCATTAAAGAGACAAAACAACAACAACAACAACAACAACAACAACAAAAACAAAAACAGGAAGAAAATAAAGAGCTCATATATAGAACCAGTATGCACTTGGGCTTCTCAGGTGAGCAAATCATAATTCTTGCACACGTTCCACAGGAGAAGACACGGTTCATGACGGTGCATTCTGAAGAACCTGAGCCACTTTTCTGCAGGCTTGATTTTACTGATTTGTACTCCCCACCCCCCGAAATCTCTTAATAAAGCTATGGTGTTTTGACATTTTATAGATGTGCTTCATAACACAATGCAATTCTTCCTGCAATGCATGTCTATGCAAATTTTGGCATAGAAAAAAAGTAACTTTTTTTTTTTTTGTGAATTTCAGCACTGATGTCAATGCCTTAGTAGAAGAAATACAAAAAGCAGAGCCTCTAATCACAGCTTCACGATCAGATCAAGTAAAGCTTTTAATACAGAGGTTACAAGATAAACTCAGACAGCACAGCAATCACAAATTTTATCTTTTTAAGGTAATGAGTATTTAAGAAAACTGAATACAAGAACTTCAATGAATTAGTTGGTATCCTACCAATTTGAAACAAAATACAGATTATATTTTCTCTTTCCCTCTGTGCTTCACATATATTTGCTAAGACTAAGTCTCAACAAATGTTTGTTTATTGACTGACTAAGTGAAATTCTAACATTTATTTCTTGAGAAGTTAAAGAAAGATTTTTAGTAAGTTTGGCTGTTCTTTACAGTGTTATACTTAAAGGATGACCATTAAGGTTGTCTTAAGTTATTGAAGAATTAAATTTTTTTCCAGTTGGACTAATATCAAGAAGTTGTATTTCACAGTACATCAATAACTTAAATTTTCTGCTTCCATGTGAACTAAACTATACTTCAGTAAATTATTTATTGATACGACTTCTATAATAATTTAAATGCAGTGCAAATGTACCTATTTTTTCTAATCAGCTTTTGCTGGTTATAGTAAAAATATCACAAATATAGTCAATTATTTAGGACATTTTTAGTTTTTCTTATTTATTTAACAATATTTAATAGTTTAGTATTGCTTCATATTACACTGATTTTATTTTTATTATTTAAATAAAACTATAAGAAAATTTAATTATTATTTAGATAATTGACACATTCTATCTGAAAGAAAATATTCAATCTTTTGTAGTCATTATTGAAAGATTAAGAAATTATTCTTATGATACCTCTTTGTTCCAGCAGGTGGCACTATTTAACTTCAAATATGAGTTCTATAACTCACAGGACCTTGTAATTTATCCTCCAAAGGGAATATTTTTTGATAGGGAAAGGGGACAGTATTAATAATTATACTCCTGCAGTAGAAATAACTGGGTCTGGCCCAGCCTTGGCAATCACTTTATCTACAAACAGACTATCCAATTTATGTATGTTCATTCAATAAATATTAAACATCCACCATGTGCTTGACAATAGAAGTTGAAAGATAAATAAAGTAATACATATCCTGACTCTAGAGGAGTTTAGGAGTCCAAAAGTAATAAAAATTGTAAAATCTATATTTAAAACATATTTGGTGTATTTTCTCTATATACTATTCATGCATATTTACAAAACCATGTGCAGTATTTATTATTTTCTCTTTTTTTAAGATTTTATTTATTTGGTTGGCAGAAAGGGACATCGAGAGAGAGGAAACACAAGCAGGGGGAGTGGGAGGGAGAGAAGCAAGCTTCTCGCTGAGCCGGGAGCTCAGTCCGGGGCTTAATCCCAGGACTCCCAGACCCTGGGACCATGACCTGAGCCTAAGGCAGACACTTACCCACTGAGCCACCAGGGGACCCCATGTGCAGTATTTAAAAGAAAATATTATAAATTCGTGCTATTTGATATCTTATTTAATATCAGTAATTTATCTTAAAATCAAATTCATTGAAAACACAGATTTAATTATGTTTTTGCAATTATTTGTAACTATCAAATGTCTTAATGGTCTTAATGGTACAAGACACAATGTACTTTTTTCTCATTTGTTCAGATAGTGACTGTTGTCTATTTATAATTAAGACAAACTTGAATGTCTTCATTAGTTTGAAGTAAAAATTATTGAGTTAAACTTAATTTTTTTCAGTTTAAAACAAATTGTGCTTTCTTTCATTGAAGGTTCTCAGAGCACATATACTGCCATTGACTAATGTTGCACTTAATAAATCAGGCTCATGGTAAGTTTCTCAAATTTATTTATTTAAAATTTAAGAATTTTAGTTTATTTGAATATTTTATTTATTTATTTGGGAGACAGCAAGAGAGAGAGCATGAGCAGAGTGGGGGGGGGGGCAGAAGGAGAAAGATAAGCAGACTCTCCCCAGAGTGAGAAACCTGATGTAGGGATCAGTTCCAGGACCCTGGATAATTACTTGAGTTGAAGACAGATGATGGTTAACCAACTGAGCCACCCAGGTGCCTCTAAAATTTTAAAATTTTTGAATGAAAAAAATTTATTAAAGAAATTATTAGAAATGTTTTATAGAAATTTTAGGTTTATAGCAAAATTGGGCAAAAGGTACAGAGATTTGCCATGTACACCTGGCCCCCAAACACCCTCAGATTCCCTCTTTGCTGGCCCTACATTGACAAACTCATCATTATCACTCAAAGCTCATAGTTTGCATTAGGGGTCACTCTTGCTTTCGTACATTCTAGGGGTTGATGAATGTGTAATGACAGGGATCCCCCATTAAGACATCACACAGAGCAATTTCTCTGCCCTGAGAATCCTCTGTGTGCCACCTCTTTATTTCTATATTTCCATTACTGGTCTTTATTTCTCATTTTTAACAACCAAGGAATAGAAATTTCTTTTTTTAAATTAAACTTGTAGATATTTAAGGTGACATAATTTGACATACATATACATAGTAAAGTAATTGTTACAGTTGAGCTAATTAACATTATCTCCTCAGTTACCACTTTTTTGTGTGTGGGAGGGAAGCACTTGAAATGTATTATTTTAGCATCTTTCCAGTATTCAATCCAGTATTATTAACTACAGTCTTTATGCCTGTGCATTGCATCTCTAGTCTTATTCATCCCACATAACTGCAATGTTATACCCTTTGGCCAACTCGTCTCCATTTCTCCCACTCCCCGCCCCTGGTGACTACTGTTCTATTCTATGCTTCTACGAATTTGACTTTTTTTTTTTAGGTTCCACATAGAAGTGAGATCAGACAATATTTGTCTTTCTGTGTCTGGCTTATTTTATTTAGCATAATGTTCTCAAAGTTCATCCATGTTGTAGTAAATAGCAGCATTTCCTTCTTTATCATGGCTGAATAATATTCCATTCATTTCTTGATGGACATTTATGGTGTTTCCATATCTTGGCTACTGTGAACAATGCTGCAAAGAACATGAGGGTGCAGATAGCTCTATGAGATTCTGATTTCATTTTTTGGATATGCATCCAGAAGTGAGATTACTGGATCATATGGTAGTTCAATTTTTAATTTTTTTTGGAACCACCATCCTGTCTTCCATCATGAATGTACTAATTTACATCCCTGAAGAAGCTGTGAGGAGATGCCTAGAGATGAATCATAGATACACTGTCTTGTCAGCTCTTTCATTTATTTGAGTTTCAATGTCAGGATTTGTGTTCAACTTTTATCATTATCATTTGGCGTAGAGACTAGCTTTCTAATTTTGTGCATTTTTTTTCTGTGTCAGGGAAGTATATTTCCTAATGGAATATTTAAGGGATAACTGAGATACTATTATTTTACTTTAAAATTTGAGAGGCCAACATGCTAATTGTTCCTGTAGTAAGATAGTCATGTAAGAGGATTGCAAATCTTAAGCAAATGTTCACTGAACACTTACTAGTGTGCCAGTCATGTTCTAGGTCGTGCGGTCTACAGCAGTAAACTAGATGGGTGGAAGAACTAGCACGTGTAAAAAAAGAAAAACAAAAATGAGTTCTTCAGAGACAGGCAAAAAAGCCAACATGGCAGCTCAGGGTGTGCTTTGGGGCAAAGTTGAAGTCCCAGAGATGGCCAGTACTGCGGGTCTTATGGGCCATGAGCAGAATTTGGATTTTCCTCTAGATTGCTAGGAAGCCATCTAAGGAAGGTTAAAAAAAACAAAACAAAACAAAACAAAACTCCAGTTTCAGTGTGGAAAACAGACTTGTAAGGACCAAGTGCCAGCCAAGACCCATTAGAAGATGGCTTCATTTGTGGAGGCAAGAGATGGAGGCAACGGAGCCTGGTGAGAAGGAACCACACTAGGGATGTATTTTGAGATTGGGCTAACAGGATTTACTAATAGATTGTGTGTGGGATGTGAGGGAATTAAAGGAATCAAAGATGGTGCTCATAATTTTATGGTGGGACCAATGGGAAGAATGATGCTGTTTATTGAAATATGTTAGAATTTCAGAAAACGTTATGATTAATGCTCTAGTTATTAATTATTTATAAGAATGATATTCTTTTTTAAAGATTTTATTTATTTATTTGACACACAGAGAGAGAGACAGTGAAAGGGAACACAAGCAGAGTGAGTGGGAGAGGGAGAAGCAGGCTCCCTGCTGAGCAGAGAGCCCTATGCCGAGCTGAACCCCAAAACACTGGGATCATGACCTGAGCCGAAGGCAGAGGCTTAACCGACTGAGCCACCCAGGCACCCCTGGCAGGATTATTCTTTATTTTCTTTAGTGACTCCTTTTTGAGTTAGGGATAATCAGAAAGTTTCTAATCCAAGGATTTAGATATTGTCCTCAATTCACCTGTTTTGCATCCAGAATTTCCATTGTAAAAATCAAGATAAATAGGCTTACAATATTGCAGGTAAAAAAAAAATGAGGATAAACACCCTGCTATTGTCACTTTGTGATTCATTTATATTCCTTGTCTTAGCTTTATCACAGGAAGCTATGATCGGACATGTAAAGTCTGGGACACTGCATCTGGAGAGGAACTTCACACCCTGGAGGGCCACAGGAATGTGGTCTATGCCATAGCATTCAACAATCCATACGGGTACAGAGACATTCACTCATTCACTTATGCCTTTTTAATCCATTAATTTGTTTGTTCTTCTCCCCCTACGTGGAAAAAAGAGAACTAAAATTTGCCAAATGCCTGATGTGTGCATTGAAAGCCTTCTAAATACGTTCTTCAGTGCTTAAAGGGGTTTTGGGACAGGTATTACTGTTCTCATACAAAGTGTATAAAGTTCAAGTACCCTTCCCAGGATCACATAGTAAACAGGAGAGCGAGAGTCCAAGTTCAAGCAGAGCTCAGTCCCTTCCCTTCAGAGTTCTCTGACAGGCAGCTCCTACTGATGATTATAGCAATAGCATCTGGAGACTCTGACATGCCCGCATAGCACGGTTTACCTTGTTTAAAAGTTAACCTACCATCTATAGCAGGGAAAAAAATGTGTACAGTAACATGATACATAACAGTACAAAATATAATTGCATTTTCAACCAACCTCTAGTTACCTGATTCAACAGATTAACTTCGTTCTCTAGCTCTCCTTCTGCTCCCTGAATGCTTGCAACAACTGCGCCACCCACTGGTATGCCCAGCTTCTTGTCCCGCTGGTTAGGCAACCTACCAAGAGTTAGTTGTGTTTGCCCTTCAGTCAGCTTATGTTGGCTGTGCTTTCATTTGTAATTATGGTACTTAATTGAGCATTGCTTAAACGAACGAAATATGACTATGAAAATAAAGCTGTTAGTTTTTTGTGAAAACATAGATGAGGCAAATCTTGGAAAAAATTACTACTGAATGAAGTTGTAGATGGTATCAAGGCAAAAATTAGAAAGCACATTGAAACATTTAGAAAACTTTGCATTCAGATTGTTCTGCATGTACGTTTACATTCTCATCCCATTTTTAAGAAAAGAATTGGAAGTGGTAGAGGTTGGATATGATTTCTGAAAGTTACTTAATGAGCTCTAGTTAACCAAAGAAAAGGCCTTGGCCTTGCATATTTGAGTAAAAAAATTTTAATGTGTGTCTTTTTCTTGATGACTCACCAACTTTTTCCATCCACCATGCTGTTTCAATAAATATAGGTATTATGATGACTAGAAAAAGACAACAAATGGTTTAAAAGTTAAGAGGAGAAAGATCCATGTGATTTCTCCTGGTAGAGGCTTTCAAGATGATGTGAGGCTCAAGCAGAAGCATGGAAAGTGGAAGACAGAGGGAAAGGGGAGGACATCCTGGGTGAGGGCACCCTGCAGCTCCAGAGGTTAGGTAGGACTCCGTCTGGCTCGCCCAGTGCCCCCGGCTCTCTAGTGGACATTTCCTGGTGAGAAACAAAAGTGGTCAAGATCATAGTGTTCTGTGTAGTATGGACTCTGTTCTGGAGGACGGAGTTGTGATGAAAGCTTTGTGAACAAAGGAGGGATTCAATGAGAGTGCTATTCAGGAGGGCTGTTATGGCAGAGACAAGGGGCCAGAGGGTTTGGACTGGGAAGAAACAGGAGGCAAGGAGATTGGTTGGAGGCAGATAAAAGTGACAGATTCAAGAGACATGAAAACAGTGTAAGATAGTGGCAAGGGCAATAATAAAAGGGAGTTTTATAAAAATTTGATGGACTTAGAGTTGAAATTTTATACCATAAATATTAAACACTTGATATGTAGGTTGCTAATGTCATTACATCTCTTTAAAATGTAACACACTTTTAAAACATTAATTGTGATGGCACAGTCAAACCTAATTTGTACATTAAAATGATTAAATATTCCAATTGCATTACTAAAAACTTAACTATGATGTGATGCAGTTTTACATTGTAGGGAATGATAATTTTTATAATAACTTATTTCACCAACCTGTGGGAGAGAAAGATTTTATTGAAATTATAAATGATCATGTTTTACTTCTAGTATAATTTCTATTTTAATTGCAATGTTATTTAAAGCACTTTAAAAGTATAGTCTCTACAATATATTACCATATCACATAAAGTCTACTTAGAAGATATGATATTTTTGCATGCCTATCTGAGAACAAAGTTTTTGGGGGGATAGAGAGGTCAGGAACCCTTCACTTTTTGGCCCTTTTATTGGATTCTACCAAGACCCCCTGATGAAAAACTTTCCTGTCCAGTTACATAATTCAATCTTTATGTATGGATTAAAGCAGCATTTTCCAGGGCATTTTGGGGCATTGGGGTTTCAGCAGAATGAGTTCTAGATAACCACCAAAGAATGAGAGGGAGTGTGTGTGTGTGTATGTGTGTCTGTGAGAGAGAGAGAGAGAGAGGGAGAGAGAGGAGGGAAAGAGAGAGACACAGAGAGGTGAACTTCAGCCAGTTTAGTGTTTATGTGTTCTATACATTAGGTCAGGAGTAAGCTTTGATTCAATAAAGTAATTCTAAAAAAACATGTGATCAGTATTATCTTTTCTCATGTAGAGGCATATGGATGTAGAGAGCAGTGTGTGACCAAACAGTAATTAACTGAGAAACAACAGCACTTGAGACAATATGTTTGAGGGACAGGAGGGATGGGAAATGGAGAGAAGGAGCAGGAAAAGAGCACACAGGGCTCTCAGTGTGTCTGAGCAGAAGTTGGTGGACATCAGCAGCTAATGAGGAATGCCTAGACTGGATGGAGAGAGAGCCAGAGCAGACTTTGGGTTGACAACCAGCCTTGAGTGTAAGGAAGCTCTAAGTGGGTTGAGTGGGTGTTCTCCAGAAAAAAAAAATGTCCCTGGAGCATGGATAGAAAGGACTTCATTTATTTTATTTTTTATTTTATTATTTTTTAAAGATTTTATTTATTTATTTGACAGAGAGATCACAAGTAGGCAGGGAGTTAGGCACAGAGAGAGGGGGGGAAGCAGGCTCTCTGTTGAGCAGAGAGCCCGATGCGGGGCTCAATCCCAGGACCCTGAGATCATGACCGGGGTGAAGGCAGATGCTTAACCCACTGAGCCACCCAGGTGCACCCCTCATTTTCTTTAGAATCAGAGACCACAGAAACACTATGTGGGTGGCATGAGAGCAAAGGAGATATACAGGGCGTTGGTGTTAGTTTAGACAAAATATGAATTCTGCAACTGTGCCAAGCACATAGAATTTGCTTTAGGATATGTATTTTGGCTCTTAAGACATTGCACACTTTTGAACGGTGAACCTGCATTGTAATTGATGACCCAGTTGGATGAACATTTGGACGACTTGCTATAAAAGACAGGAGTCAATGGTAAAGGAAAAGATTTAGTTCTAGGATGAAAGCCAAACAGGCCAACCTACTCTTACCTGTTGGTTGTTGATAGTAACCCTGCTCCCCGGTATACACAGGAAGCCTCTTGTTTGCAAGGTACTGGTCTTCACCATATTTCCTCTCTAGACCCTCCCTCTTGTTCAAAGACCTTACAATTAGAGTAATATTAGCATTATTTTCCCAAGGAGACACTAAGTTCTCAAAACCTTATCTAGTCATATGGTATAAATTAAATTATTTATATATTTTCATTCTTCTTCTTTTAAATTCAAAATTATCAGTAGACCTGCTAATAGAATTTTTTTGTGTCCCTGCAACTCATACATTATTTATTTCCATTTGGTAAGAATTTTCTAAACTAAATTTTGTACCATATTCATTTTGCTAATTTAAAAGCTTATTGTAATCCCAAACATAAATTTATTACTTTTTAATGCAATATTTTAATGTAAAATACTTAAATTAAACATATAAACTGATACTATTGAAAAATTAGACCTTAATTTTGTTGTCCACTGAAACAAATGCCAGATTGCTTTTTGTTTTAAAAACAAAGTAAATTCCTGACTAGATAAACCCATGTATTAACATCTCTTGTCTTAATTCAGTGTATGATATACTGTGCTTGAATTTTTTTCAAAATCCATTTTTTTTTTTTTTTTTAATCTTAGTGACAAAATTGCCACTGGGTCCTTCGATAAGACTTGTAAGCTATGGAGTGTAGAAACAGGAAAATGTTACCATACCTTTAGGGGTCACACAGCAGAAATAGTGAGTATATTTATTTTATTGCATTTTCTTTCTTTCTTCCTTCCTTTCTTTTCTTTTCTTTTTTTAATAGACTTTATATTTTAGAGCAGTTTTAGATTCACAGTGAAACTGAGTGGAAGATATAGTGGTTTCCCATATATTCTCTGCCCTGCCCCAAACATGTCCCATTATCAACAAACCCCACCAAACCTGTACATTTGTTACAACTGATGGACCTACATCAATGCATCATTTTTTTTTTTAGTAATCCATTATACAAGGAGTGGTTCTACTTTTATGAATAATTTTGCAACTATATCTGGTATTTTCAGTTTGTATGTATTTTATGTGGAGGCATTAAAGTAATTTATAAACTATTTGAGTTTTTATATCGTACAGTTGTTGTCAAAGACCCATATCCTACATTGACTAAGAAGATGTGCAAAGTGATAATTGCATTTGAATACCATATCCAACCTTACTTTTTCTTTTTCAGTGACTTGCTTTTAAAGGACTGACTTAATGAGTGTTGATAAAATTCTTAGAATAGTTTTTAAAGTAACTTTTTTATATCATGTGAAATATTTAGCCTGGTTGTTTTCTGGATATCATTAGAACTCAAATTTGCATAAATAGTTTGCTACTTTAAATAGCTTTCGCTATTGGGAAGACCTTGCCCTTGGCCAATTCTGCGTTACATCCTATAACAATTAGTGAGTTAATTGGCACCCTATGGGAAAAATGATAGCATTTAAAAATAAACAGGCTGCTTATTTTAGGAGTAAAATTTATAATTATCATTCAGATTCATGGTGTATTCATCCAATAAGGGCTCATGCTATGTTTAATATTTTGCTAGACACTGGGGGATACTATAGTGTAAAATTATAACCGACCCGTTAATGGCACTCAGTGTGCACAAAAGAAAGTTTTGTGCTAATGTATAAGTCCTTTACATATATTAGCCTAGTTGCACCTCATCACTACCCTAAGAGCTAGAAATTTCCCCATTTTACAGTTGAAGATGCCAAGGCATAGAGAGAGTAAGTAACATGTCCAAACTCGTGAGAAAAACATGATCCTCATTCTCATGCTCCCTTGGAATTTTGAAAAAGTTTTCTTTATATATAGTTCCAAGGAAGACTTTGATCCTTTTCACAGTCAACAACATCAATCCAAAAATTATTTACTACTTATTGAATGTGTCGAGCCCTGGCCTGTGTGCTTGGCATACCAAATAGAATCACACATGGTTCCTGTCCTGCAGGGACTTAGTGGTTCACTGGAGGAAATAGAGGCATCAATAAATAAGTTCAGAGATGCATTGTAGCATGCTAGAAGTTGGTGGGGGGTTTAGTGTGGTCACAGAGGGGAGCACCCCGATGGTGGGGATGATAAGGAAAGTATGTGCAGGTAGATAGCACATTCTCTGGGCAGCGAGAGCTGCACTGGCCAATGCCCAGAGGGGGTGTGCAACAGTGGTGGGTGTTTTCAGCCTCAGATGACTCCATGTGGCCAGAGAAGTACTTGCCAACGTCCCCACCTGATGACGTACACAGAATAGGCCAATTCTATTGGCCTGTGCACCACACTGGGTGGGGGGGTTGGAGGTTGCTGCCTGCTGCCATGGTCAGAAGTGCTGGGTGAGGATCCCTGGTGCTGCCCAGCTGCCTGGATTAAAGGTACCATGTCTTGGTGCACTTGCACCGCATTCAAAGCCATATCACATGGTGAACGTGATCAAAGTGGGGGAGACTGGCAAGGCCATTGTATTAATTCATATGTTGTGCTATGGGATTTGTACTTTATCCTGTGGAGAATGCCATGCTGTTGAGACTTTTTAGGTGGGAGATAGCATGGTCATTTTTACTCTTTGGAAAGATCCTTCGTGTGGCAGAATGACGTACGATCAGAAGCAGGGGCTAGCTGGCCATCTTGTTGCAGTGCAAGCAGAGACAGTGGAGGCCCGTCATGAGGCAGGTGAATAGAGTGTGAGAGAGGCTGGAGTGGAGGAGTAGGAGGGGGTTGTCAGGCAGATGTGAGGCGTGAAGGAGAAAAAGGGCTCCAGGGTGATTCCTTAACTTCAGAGAATGGCAGGGCATTTTATGTAAAATGTCTTGTCCATTTATATAAAAGGGACAAGCAGGTTTGTGGTCATATGACTTGCATGTCTTAGATTGATCCAAGCTGCCTATGCAATGTCTTCACAGAAGCCCTTTGGGGTTGAACTGAGCGTGAGGTCGGGGAAGGAGACGTGGGTGTGTGAGTCACATGCATCAGGGTGGCCACGGGAACTGCTGAGATTTGCAGTTTCTGAAAGGACAAGTGTCAGTAGGGGGTGAAGTGTGATGGCACGTTGAGCACCTGGGGATGAGAATTCTCCAAAAGATAAATAAAAGAGATAGGAGGTAAAAGGAAAAAAGCAGAGTGCCATCAAAGTTGTCAAGAAGGAAGAAAATATGGAGAAGAAAGGAGTCAACACTGCAGGCACCAGGGAACCTAAGTGGGGGTGACCAGCAGAGCCTTCCAGTCATTTAGTCAGAGTGGTTCTCGCAGTTGAAATATTGGGGGATGGGCAAGCGGTGATGATGGTACACACTATTTTTCCAAGGAATTTGGTTGTGAAAGGGGAAAAAAGGTAGCTAAAAATGAGGTACATGGAGTCAAGGGAGGATTTATTTTTATGTGGAAAGAGCTCGAACATATTTATGGTGCCATTAGGAGGCACCCAGTATAGACGTAGGGAAAAATGAGTGGGCGTGTCTCCGGTAGGCGTGCAGGGAAGAGGGTGTCTGAGAAGGGAGAAGTGATCTCTCTGCACCTGACAGTGGAGGGAAAGGAAGAGAGGACCAGGTGAGGAAGTTCCCCCCGACAGGTGAGTTTTCTCAGGGAAGTAGTTGAAAGCCAGGTTATCCGTGGGGAAGGGATGAGGACAGACAGGGAACAGAAGTGTGGAAAGGAAGAATGGACGGAGCCAGAGGCACGTTCAAGTAAGGAGGAAATGCTGCTGAGGACACAGCTGCGGAAAGAAGGCACACACAAGCAACACCCGTAATGTGCCAGGTGGTTTTCTTAAGCTGAGGGGTGAGGGAGGTCCAAGGACTGTGTGAAATGCCAGCTTGATACAGTTGTCAGGAGTCGTAGGGACATGGACGGTGCCAGGGAAAGACAAGGAGTGGAGGTGTTGAGGACGCTGGAAGGAGTGATGCTTCCAGGGTGTCAGCTGAATGGGGGGTTGGCCAGGAAAAGGCAGGGGTCTCAGTGAGACAGGAGATATGCCAGGGGTGGCTTGGTAAGGACGAAAGTGGAAGCATTGGGAAATTGTACTGAGAGATGGATGTCCACGTAGTGAATCTTCTAGGAAAAGTGACACTGAGGTCCAGGGTGTGGCCACGGGAGGGATTATGGGAGGGAGTCCAGGGTCATGGGTCTGGGCTACTGGAATGATGGCTCCCTTGAAGGCCACCTAGGACTTGGGACAGAGACCGTGAGCCAATAGCCAAAGACCTTGACTGGTGAGGGAGCAGGATGGGAAGGACTGTGATGTGAACAACATGGAAGATGGGAGCCAGAGAGCATGAATCACAAAGGAGATGGATTTACTTTTATTCTTTATTTACTTTTATTCCCGTCCTCTGGAAGTGACAAGGCGTGCCCGTGCCCGAACTAGGTGACATGGGAGAGCAAAGAGACCTCTTCTCAAGAGGAGAGTGCTTCAGGATTCAACCTGCAGAACACAGGCCACCCAGAGGCCACCCTGGTATCTCACTGCGGAGAATTAGGCTGAACCTAAGGCAGTTGCCTCTTGAAGCTTTTCTATACAAAATCAACAATTCAAAACTCTTCTCTTTCTAAAATCTCTTCCATTTCCTGGAATTCAGGTGTGTTTATCCTTCAACCCTCAAAGCACACTCGTGGCCACTGGGAGCATGGACACAACAGCCAAACTGTGGGACATCCAGAATGGAGAGGAGGTGTTCACTTTAATGGTACGTGCATCCTGTCGCCAGCTTCGAGAGTTCTGCGCTCTCCCTAGCTATTGCTTAGCCTAAGCCTATTACGGAGTTTGTTGTTATGAGCTCCATGTCAGAAGATATTTTTGAGCTATTGGTTTTCAGACTGTGATGAAAAGTACGTCCCAGTGGGTTTGTTGGCGATTCCCAACGACTTTGACGAGGGAGCTGAGGAGGTCTGGGCTTTTTTATTTTGACGAGCTTCCGTCTGTAAGTCCCACCAAGCACAGCTTAAAACCTAGTGCCATCTCTCCGGCTTAAAGCCAAGGAGGTGGAGGCTGACACTTTCTGGAAGAGGCAGAACTGGAGAAACTTGCCAGAGGATTCCCTAAAACGACAACTGTCCGCACTGTCCTCCACTATCCCCGGTCTCACAGGCCTCCTGTATTACAAAGTCTGAAATGACAAGGGGTAAGTGGCAGGAGGAGAAAGGCTAAAGGGCAGTGCTCAGAGAGCAAGAGCTGGTGGTATATGTCCATGGGGGTCTTGGTCTGTCACCACCACGCGTCCAGCACTTTCCTCCCACCTTCTCCCTCTACTTCCTCCCACCCCTGTCCAAACAACAGAACACACAGACGGTGATTCTCTGTGCCAATCAGTCAGAACAGCTAGGTGGGAAACCCAGTTCTTATCCTTTCAAATTATAAATGGATTCCAAATTAGGACTCCTTTCGTAGGAGTTTTTTTGAAGTCAAAATGGACTAGAAAGAGAGAAAAAGCACTCTTTTCAACAAACACCAAGGGATTTTCTGAATTCAGAGTGCCATCCTTAATTAACGTAAGTATATACACTCTTCCGACTTCCTTCTCATCATTTCTGTGGGGTGCTGCCTCTTCACTGCCTCCTCCTTCAGAACAATGCCCAACAGTCTTCGAAAGGCTGCATCCCCCTCGGCACACCCACACCTGTCTGCCACCAGGCCACACATCTGTTTTGTGCGCTTGGAATTTTCATGTTCAGCTACATTTAATGCCTACCATTTGGAAAAAGCCAGAAATTTGATGTGTAAATGAATATTTTCACTAGTGGAAAAAAAGTAATGTTAATTTGCTAAAATAATTTGGGAAACAAGGGCCATACTGCAAGCAGAGTCTACTGCCGGGAGGGGCTTCTTGCCCTTGCCTCAGAATGTTTGATGCGTCGGCCCTAGACAGTGACCAAGTGAAAGCCAGGCTAAAGGCCAGATATTTATTAATCTATTTTATGTTAGATCATCTTAAGAGGGGCACCTAGGTGGCTCGGTCAGTTAGGGGGTACATTTGGCTCAGGTCGCCATCTCAGGGTCCTGGGGTTGACCCCTGTGGGTTGGGCTCCCTGTACAGTGGGGAGCCTGCTTCTCCTCCTCTTTCTGCCCCTCCCTACCCGGGTCTCGCTCTCTCTCTCTCAAATAATTAAAATCTTTAAAAAAAAATCAGCATAAGAATAGTTAAATTTATTCCACAAACTTTTCTATCACCTGCTACTAACTCATAAAGCATATAGCTTTTTTTTTTTTTTTTAAGAGACAGAAAGAGAGCAAGAAGGGGGAGGGGCAGAGAGAGAGAGAAAGAGAGAGACAAACAGACTCCCTGCTGAGCGGGTAGCCCTATGCAGAGCTGAATGTCAAGACCCTGAGAGCCAAAACCAACAGTCAGACACTTAACCTTAACAGATTGAACCAACCACCCAAGTACCCCAGCCCTCCTTTTTTTGCATACAGCTTTTTAAAAAGTGTTTTCAAGACAATGTGGAAGAAGTCCTCTGATGATTTCCCACATATTGCCCTCTTCCTGTCCATTAAAACAAACAAAACCTAGTTTTATTAAGTTAAATGGACTTGATTTAAGTGTATAAGTCAGATTTTAGTAAATTTACGGAATTGTGCAACCTTTACCAAGCTCCAGTTTTCAAAATTTCCCCCAAAAGATACCTATTACCACCCCCCAGCCAACCACTAATCTCTTTTCTACCTATAGAGTTTTGCCTTTTCTAGCATTTTCTTTTAAACTAAGAATTGTGCCTTTGTAGAGATTGTTCTTCTGCAGGTAATGCATGATAGTATCTGTTCTCTTTCTAGGGACATTCCGCTGAAATCATCTCTTTGTCCTTTAATACCTCAGGAAAGAGAATCATCACGGGATCTTTTGATCATACTGTTGCAGTGTGGGAAGCTGATACTGGAAGGTATTCTGTGTCTTTAAGGATTTTTTACTCTGGATCAGAGGGTTAAGAACACCATCTTTGCTGTTCCTATCTATTAACTGTGCTTTGGACTCTATAGGAATAGGATACCTCCCAAATAAATTAATTCATTACTTAATTCATTCATTAATCAGAAGTGATATTTCTGATCCAGAAAAAAATGTGTGCATTCTTGGAATTCTGACCAAATAATGCCACACAGAAACATAAAAGGAGAATGTTAACAATAGCCTGGGTGATGGCTATTATTCCTTCTGTATACTGTGTAATCAGATTTCAATGGCTTGTCAGTATGGCAGGCATGGATCTCATGAGTAAATAAAATCATGGCTAATTTTCCAAATTTAATTTAGTCCAACAACTTCAATTTCCTTCCTAATTATTTTGGGTTCTAGTTGCTGAGAAGTTAACTAAATTAGACTCTGCATTGGAAAGCTCTACCTTGGACTTGTATCTTGATGGAGGGGCTAATTACCAGGGGTAGCAGTCAAGATATGAGGGGGAAGGAAGGGCCCTTCGGACATTGGATGGGTAGTTTCTGAACTACCAAGAGGTCTACTGGTCTTGTATAAGAATACTTCCAGGACCTCAGACAACTGGATTATTTATCAGCCATGGCTTTCTGAAGTCTTAAGTAATCTTGTTATTTTTGAGTGCTTCAAATGTAAGTATATGTTCGCCGAAATGAAATTAATAGCCTAGTTGGCGGTTTCTAAGCTGTACTAGAACCATCTTTGTTTTGTCATCAAAAGTATTATTTTGTGAAAACCAAAATTTTGACTCTCACACCAATGGGCTTGACATCGTTATCTGTGCCCTTATCCTGAAGTAGGGCATCTTTCACCAATGTGAATCCTTTCATTTTGTAGGAAGGTATATACCTTAATCGGGCATTGTGCTGAGATTAGCAGTGCTTTATTCAACTGGGATTGCTCTCTGATATTAACTGGCTCTATGGACAAAACCTGCATGGTGAGCTCAAGAAATATCTTTGCTTTACAGTTCTCCCGTGTGCCCTTTATACTGGGTCAGATATTCATTGAAACATTACCACATTTCAAAGGTGTTGTAAAATTAGGATTTAATTTATAAATAATTGGCATTTTTAAATGTTAACTTTCTGATCCCCCAGGTTTAAAGGAATTATGATGGAGTAAAACCATGTTAATTGAATCAAATGTATCACAAGATCTTATTTTCAAAGACACATTATTTTTCTTTAATGTCTCTCTGTTCATTTGTTAAACTTTGATTAGAGTGAATCTTGAGGAGGCTCAAAACAATGTTTCCCTGCTTTTAAATTTCTATTGCTAAGAGCTTATGCTCTGGAATTAATATTTGATTACATATGATATATTATAATCTTAATGTACTTTTTATTCTCTAGCATTATAGTTTTAGATCAAGCTTCTTATCATTTGATGACCTTCTTATGGAAAGAGGACATTTCCACTCCAATGTCACGCACTTTGAGATTTTTCCTAATATAGTGGCAGATTTGCACTCTCCATTCTAAATGTGTGTTTCTGGTCTTCTCTTGTCCAGTGTGCCTTGTGAGTTGGTTGGCTGGGGTTTCTTGTCATGAATCCAGGTAAACTTAACAGAACATGTGGAAATTATACACATGATCTTGGCACAGTTATTCAGCTAGCCATAAGCATGTCATAATGACTACTTTTCCCCATTTTTGCACTTCAGACAGGAAGTCACAGTCACCTTCTTTTTTTTTATTGTAGCTGTGGGATGCCACAAATGGAAAATGTGTGGCAACACTAACAGGCCATGATGATGAAATTCTAGACAGCTGTTTCGATTACACTGGAAAACTTATTGCAACTGCTTCAGCCGATGGTAGGTCATCTGTTCATACATTTAATTTGTTTGATAAACATGTATAATTCTATACCGTAGGTCATCTACCTGATAACCAGCTGTGAGAAACACTACATCTGCCTCATCTCTGTGATGCTGGTCATTGCACTACATTGGTATCATATTCTTGGTAACCACAGGTTACAATGTCTGCGTCATCTCCTTGACAACCACATCTGATGTTTCACTGGGTCTTCACATCCCCTTGATGACTATATATAATGGTATATTCTGGGTCGTCTCCCTAATCATGCATTATGCTACACCACGTTGACCTCATCAACTTGACCACCATCCATGGCACTGTAATAAATCTGCATTATCTCCTTTATACCACATGTGCTGCATGTAACACATCTTTGTGATGACATATGTGATGCTTTGTTGTACATCATGTTCTTGTTTACCACCTAGGAGTCTACACTGGTCTGCATCATCTTACTGATAACTATGGGCTGGTGGTACACCACGTGTACCTCTGTTCACTGAAGACCACAGATGATGCTCCAGTACCTCTATGTCATTTCCCTGTTGACCATGTATGCTATTCTATTATGCCCACCTCATCCCTCCAGGACACATGCTCTATCTACTCCAGCCCCGGGTCACCAAACGAGATACTGCTTTATGTACCATCATCATCCTGATCACCATGCATGATACACCATACTCAAGTTTTCTTAAAAACCATGTATGATATTGCACTCTACCTATATCTTCTCCTCGATTGCTGCATATGACGTAGACTACGTCAGAATCATTGCCTTGATAACTGTGTGTGCTGTGATACTAGAACTCATCTTGATGACAAATATATGTGATGCTGCACTGTATCTGTGACATTTCACTGAAAACCATATATAATGCTATGTGATGTCTGCATCCTCTCATTGACAACCATCTGTATTGGTATACTACATATACAGTATGTCCTGGATGATAATTTATGTTAGTAAACAACAGGTCATCCTCATAACAGCTATGTATTCCTGACAAGCATGTAAAATGCTATACAACTTCTGCCTCATTCACCCATTATTATATCATATCCATGATAACCACACGTGATACTGTGTCTGCATCATCTTCTTGACAACCACATAGGATGCTATACTCAGTCTATGTCATCTCATGCCCGTCATACAACAATGTGTGATTCTGTTCTATGAGTCATCACCTTGATAATGAAGTAAGATGCTACAGTACACTACATGTCCTCTTCCTGAAGACTGCAGTTAATGCTACACCACCCCTGTGCCATCCACCTGATGGTCATGTATGGAGCTGTGCTAAGTCTGTGTTATCCCTTTAACAACCAATTATGATGCTATATTGTATCTATATCATATACCTGACTGTTATGTTTTATTTTATAGTCCTTGTCATTCCCCTTAAAATCATGTATGATACTACACTATATCTTCATCTAATCCTTTATAACCATATATAATATTCTACCATATCTTCATCATTTCATAGAAATTTATGTGTGATGCTATAATATTTCTACCTCATCACCTTGATAAACACATCTTCAAGGTCTGCTATGTCCGGATCCCTTCATTTACAAAACTACATGATTCCATGTTATACCTGGATCATATCCTTGAAGTCTGTTTATCACACTATCTTTTAATGGCATCTCCTTGAGTGCTATGTGTGGTGTTATTGTGTGTGTCATCTCCACAGTGGGCTCATATGTTATGCTCTCTGTGCCCACAGTTAATGAGGTTATGTGATGTTAAAGTGTGTAACTTCACTGACCTCCATGCATGATGCTACACTCGGATTGTCTCATCTCTCTGATAACCACATTATCTCTGGCAATTATTAAGATGCCATGCTATTTCTGTGTTATTGCCTTAAAAACACATATGGTGTTATACTATGTCTGTATCATGTTCTTTACAGTGACATCTATATCCTCTTCTTGAAAATCATGTGTGATGCTCTACTATGAGAGTTTTCTCAATTACCACACATGAGGCTACATAATATATGCATCATATCCTAGAAAACCATGTTATGTTATGCAAAACCTCCCAGACAAGTATGTGTGATGCTTTACTCTCTCATCCCTTTAACAACCCTGTAAGTTGGTAGAGGATGTGACTAGATGATTTCTATATCATGTCCATGATAATCATGTATGACACTATACCATGTCTGTGCCATTTGGAAAACAGTATGATGATACATTATTTTTGTGTTATTTTCCTATTTTTTAATGCTGAAATCTATGTCTTATATTCCTGATAAGCACTATGACATTAAATATGTCTGTTTCAAGTTCATTATATCCACATATGACACAAATCATGTCTATGTCATCACTCTGATGACCATGTATGACACTATAATATCTGTGTTCTCCATGATAATATATGTCACCATGCTACATTTGCATCATTTCCCTGACAACCAAAGTGATGCTACACTATTTCTGGGTCATTTCCTTGACAACCATGTATGAACTTATGCTCTGTCTCATTGTGTCTCTGACAACAGATGAAGCTATATACTGTATGATGATCTATTGTGGGTAGTCTCTTGACAATCACGTATGATGCTATGAGCATCTTTGCCATCTGGTCCACCATGTATGCTACTACAGTATGGCTGTGGTAAGCACACATAGTGCTCCTGTGTGACTGCATCATCTCTTGGGTAACTGTATTCATTTGTCAGGGCTGCTATAACAGAGTACAACAGACTAAGGGGCTTAAACAAAAAGAATTTCTTTTCTCACCACTCTGGAAGCTACAAGTTTGAGATCAAGATGTTGTCAGTCTTGGTTTCTTCTGAGGCCTGCAGGTGGCATTTTTCTCCCTATGTCTTCATGTGGTCTTCCCTCTCCACGTGTCTGTATCCTCATCTCTTCTTCTTATAAGGACACCAGATATATTGGGTTAGGGCCCACTCTAATGAACTCATGTTAACCCATTTCTTCTTTAAAGTCCCAAATCTCCCTGCTAAGTCAACTTCTAAGATACTTGGGGTTAGGAATTCAACATAGGAGTTTTGCGGGGGACACAATTTGATGTGTAACACCATGTGGGACAAACAGCATATTCCCATTTTCTGCCTAAAGTCTTCTCTCCTTGTAAATCCCAGGATATGCCATGTCTGACCAGGTCTTTGATAATCATATGTGAGTCTATGCTATAGGTCAACTTTCTGACAACCACCTATCATGCTACACTCCATATCATCTTTTAACCTGCTCTATATGATCCTACACTGTGACTTCCCCCTGTCCTGATAGCCATGGATGATGCCCAACTATGGGTAAGCTCCCTGAAGACAATAAGTGATGCTTCATGATGTTGGCATCATATCCTTGCCACACTCTGTATCAACTTTAAGTATGTGTTGTGGTGTGTCATTATGACTGAATGTTTCGATAAATACATGATGCTGTGTCATTATTCATGTCTTTGATAACCAACTAGGGATAGATCTTATATATGTTATACTATGTTTATGTCATCTCCTTGATAACCATGTCGAGTGCTACACTATTTTGAATCATCTCCCAGATGACTGTGTTTGATGATATAGTATGTGTTATATCCATGATGGCCTTATGATGATACAATGTATCTGTCCCGTTGGTTGACGACCCCATATGTTGCTACACTGGTATGTGCCATCTTTCTATAGTCCATAGATGACTCTACACACCATCTCCATTATCTTTTTGATGTCATGTATGATGCTATGCTGTGTGTTTTCATCTCCTTGACAACCACACATCATGCTTCACTATGTCTGCATCATCTCTGTGATGACCACATATAACACTATATTGTATCTGTGTCACCTTCCCATGAATGCATATCATGCTGTTCTATGATTATGTCATCACCATGTCAGCACACATAAGCCTACACTGTGTCTAAGTCATCTCTTTGATAATCACACATGATGCTTCACTATGTCTAATTCCCTTAATGACTGACTCTATGTGACTCTACATCATGTCCATGTAAACTTAACAGCCATTTAAGAAATTCTAGCAAAAATGGGATGCTTTTTCCAGATATGATTTGTTCTTTGTTTGCCTGCATTTGCTCTTTGTGACTAACATACTGTTAGGTAGTCACATATACTTTGTGTTATAACCAGTTATGGAATTTTGCCAGTGATTCATTTTAATTACACAGTCTTTATTCCAACTTTCTCTTGCTTTTCAAAATTACATTTGCATGATGTTCCCTTACTCACTAGGATTTTTCAAAGGTGATCCTTTGATCATACATAAGTTTCTTTCTATATCCTGGAATATAAATGCCCTGAATTTGGAGAACTCTCTTTTTCAGAGTAACTACTTACTTTTTCATCTTACAGAGCTTTGCTTTTTAAAATCATACCTCAACTGTAATTAATCTACCCTTTTTATTTTAAATATCATTTTTACTTATACCAAAAAAAATCATTCAGAAAGAATAGGGAACCTATTTTGTGCCAAGAATTGTTTTAGGAACACGGGCTATATCAATGAACAAAAGAGAGAGGAATTCCTTCCCTCATGGAGCTATATTATGGAGGGGGAGTATATGAAGAATAGCATATATGTGTTTTCCATAGAATGTTAGAATATAGAGTAAAAAGATTATACTTTATATATAGAATATATAGATTATAGTATATAGATTATAGAATAAATGAGTTTTATATATAATCTATATAATATAGATTATAGAATAAATGAGTTTTATATATAATCTATATAATATAGATTATAAGGAATGTTAAGAGTTTGTCAGCACTATGAGGGGAGAAACAAGCAAGGTCTGGGGATCAGGATACTGAGAGATGGATGAGAATTAACTGTAAGTTCAGTAATTCTTCTGTTTTCTCTATCATCTGTTACGTCCCCTATCAGTGATTCCATACTTTCCTTGCTCTATAAGACATTACTTCAAAAAAACTTTTTTTCTTTTGGTATGTTTTGTAAACCTCTTCTCATTCTGCACCTTCTAAGAAGTCTTGATGCTTGGAGAAATCTTGTTTACTTAACTCTGGTTCTTGCTTCTCATTCCCCTCTTAAAACTGGATACATTCAACAGGAATTAGTTGAAGCTGTAAAAGTGAAGATAAATGTTTCTTCACATTAATCACATTTTACTTCTTCATTTGAATCATTCTCAAGCCTGGATTATTTTTTGGTGTCTTATTCATATTTCTATCTTTTAAAAAATGTAGTTTTAGGTTATATTATTTCTGTGTTTTCTAAAGTTTAAAAATCTTTTGAGCAATTTGGAGAATTAGTATAGGTAGGATTTTCATTTTTGTTGTATTAACACTTCTTTTTTTAAGAGATATTTATTTGAGAGAGAGAGAAAGAGAGTGAGCAAGTGAGGGAGGGACAAAGGCAGAGAATCCCAATCAGACTTCCTGCTGAGCACAGAGCCCAATATGGGGTTATATCTCACAACCCTGAGATCACGAGCTTAGCTGAAACCAAGAGTTGGATGCTCAGCTACCTGGGCCACCCAGATGCCCCAATATTAACACATTCTTTTAAAAAAAAAATTAATGATTTGAGAGAGAGAGATCGTGAGTAGGGGGGAGGAGCAGAGGAAGAGGGAGAAGCAAATTCCATTCTGATCAGGGAACCTGACATGGGGTTTGATCCTAGGACCCTAGGGTCATGACTTGAACTGAAGACAGATGCTTAACCTACTGAGCTACTGAGGTGCCCCATTAACACATTCTTAAAACGCATTGGTCACTTTAAGGCTTTTGAAATGTTCAACTAGTAGTTTTATATTTTTAGTCATATTAATTGTAAAATAACAATTTTCATCTACTTCCCTCTGAAGTTGACATTGTCAGAAGGGCAAGTAAAAATTTTACTAAAATGTTTTGCTCTTCTCTGAATGAAAATTAAGTAACCAAAATTCCCTATCGTTACTAATTTTGCCTCTATGTAATTTTGTATTGTAATAAAGGAGCAGCCTTCATCTGGCCAGAAAAATTTTAACGTTTTTTTCTGACAACAATTTTACTACTGCTGTTTTTCTCCTTCTACATTTATTTAGCTCCTCCATTCCTTAATTAAAAGGAAATTTCTATACCACTTCTTCCTTCCTTCCTTCCACTCATCTATCCATCTATCCATCCACCTTCCCACCCATCCATCCACCCACCTATCCATCCATCCACTCATCCATCCACCTACCCACCCATCCATCCACCCACCCATCCATCCATTATCCACTTATCGTCTACTGGGAGCTTGGCACTTCTGGCCCCTAGGGATACAACAGGGAATAAACCAACTCTTTCCTGGCTTCCCTGATGCCTCTTCTTTGTCCAGCAATTAGCGGCTGTTGCTCCATTTCAGGAAGACCTCTCGAACCTTTTGTCACCTTAGACTCCTATTTGGTGTATGATGCTGGTCTGGCTGCTTGTTTCATCACCAGCCTCTCAAAACTCGTTTTAATTCTCCCTTTCCCAATAAAAGCTTTTTCTTTGTGGATTCCTTCCCCCCACCTTTTCTACCTTGGAACCCATCATTTCTTCTAATAAGCTTGGGGCTTGAGGGGCACCCTGTTCCCATTCTTTTCCTACCCTGGCACCACTTACATTTGCAGTTTTAGGTGGTGGCTGTCACCTCAGGCAAGGAGACAAGCAGCACAGAACCCGGACATCAGAGGGATGGGTATTACATAATTCAGGCACATGGCTCAAAAGGTCTGTATTTCAGATGAATTTATCTATTTCCACTCTTTCGAAAAGGAACAGCAAGAGTTTTCAGTGCTGCTACAAGAAAATGCATGACCAAATTGGAAGGCCATGAAGGAGAAATTTCAAAGGTGAGTTGCTTTCTCACTTGGAGCAATTTAGTTTTAAAAACATAGCATGCTTAGTGTAAATAGATCTGTTGGCACTAGGGTTTGTCCAATTATCTCATTCTTTCTAGAAATCAGCTACCTAAAAACTATATTTTTAAGTGGGACCTCAAACTTAGCATAATAAATCATTCCTAAAACCTTTTAAAAACTATAAAACAGCATTTTTCTCAGCCATCAGCAAAAGATTGAGTTTGTTGAAAATACTTATTAAAGCTATTTAAGAAACTCATAAAGTGCTTTTCCTGGTCCAAGCAGACACACAAGTATGTGTTATGCAAAAAACATGCTGTGCAGCGAGTATCAAGTGTTTTGTAAATTAGATGCAATTGAGAAAGTATTTCCTGGAAATATTTAACACTTAACAGAGTTTAAAATGACCTACTTTGAAACTTCAAAGCTGTAGCTTAAGATTTTGTCTAACCTCCTCCCACAAGCTGATTCACAGAGCAGGGTCTTCCGACTCAGTAATCTGAGGTTTAGCTGTGTCCTTAGAAAACTCTGGAAAGGTCGGAAGTTGGTGACTCTCAGCTCCCACACAGCTCAGCCCAGTTCCTTGGTCTCATACCTGAGATCAGATTTGCTCCTTCCTTTTAAAGGATCAGGTTGATGGCTTCAGGTCCTAGAAGGCTGCCCCTGGACCCTGGAACCACCCCCTGTTGTGCTTTCTCTACTCCTCCCTCCTCTGCACCTGCCACTGTGGCCAGGAACCTCTGCCCTTCAAAGTTGGTCTCCGAGGCTGCACTAAACACATCTCCTTCATAGGCTACGAGGCCTTAGGGCCTGGCAGGAAGAGAGATGGGGAAGATGTGGGGGCAGCCTGGGAAGAGAACCCAGGCCTTGTTGCTGAGTGACTGGTCTAATAATGATTGACATGCACGAGGTGGCCCACTCAACAAACACACATATTTTTGTGCATGTGTGAATATAAAGGGTTCTCTCACTCTATGTTGCATTTTAGGATATGTGATACATTACTTATTGAATTGCTATTCAGCAATGGCATTTCTATGGATTAGAAAGTTAAGGTATTCATTCATTCATTCATTCATTCACTCAAGAAATGCTTTTTGAGAGCTTTCCCTGTGCTGGACATTGTACCGGAGACACAGGGACAAAAAAAGCCATGCTCTTGAGCTTTGTCCTCATCAAACTTTCAATCATAAAGGATGTGACCCAAGTCATTGTCTTATGATGATTTAGAGAGTGTTATAAGCATGGAACCCAAAGGAATAGTGAACTAACCATTTCCTTTGACAGTCGCTCAGATACTATATGACAATGTTTGACACATAGGAGGCACTCAGGAAATATTTATAGAACCTACTTTACTTTGAACGGAAGTAGAATGAAAGTCCCCCCGACATTCACTCATTCTGAGGCACAGATTGAAAGAGGATCTATATGCTTTTGATTAGAGAAAGTTGAGTTATAGGGATGACATGGGGGCTTGGGTTTGAAGGAACCTGACTTGTGTTCTTATCCACACCAGGGCTCTGTCTCTTTGTGTGGAAAGGCTTGCATCTTGAGTTTTTGGAAAGAAGCTAGGTGGGGAATACTCAAAATAGAAGGGAACTTTGGTCTTTTTCCTTAGAACTGTGGGGTGGGTGTGGGGTGCCCTGTTATACTCTGCTGTATAGCCTTTAATTTTCATGTATTAGTCCCTGCAGTTTTTCCCCCTTCAGGAAGGAACTGTTCTATGTAAGAATAAATGCCAAGCTGGGAAAATGACAGGTGCTTAGTCATGTCCCCTTTCTGCTGATTAAAAATATATCAGGAATCAAATTACACAAACCTGTCATTTTCCTTTCTGTCTTGTAGATTTCTTTCAACCCCCAAGGGAATCATATTCTGACTGGCAGCGCTGACAAAACAGCAAGAATCTGGGATGCTCAGACTGGTCAGTGCCTCCAGGTCCTTGAGGGGCACACAGATGAGATCTTTTCATGTGCTTTCAACTACAAAGGCAACATAATCATTACAGGTATGGGAGAGAGAAACACATACACTTGGTTTTCTTTTTCAGTTGGCTATTAGCGTTTCCAAGCTGAATACTGAAAGAGTTTTACTGCTCTCTCCTCCCAGTCTTGCAGGGTCCCTGGTGTGTGCTCACGTTTCTCATACCTGCGATTTAATTTTAGTAGCATGTGGGACCACAGGGGTGAGCTCTAACTGTAAGGCTTTGTGAATTTTGAATTTTAGTTGCTCTTAACAAAGAGCCCAGTAGCCTGCCTTACTGGTTACCGCATCTCCCCAGGAAGTACCCACCGAATGGTTAATATTCAGTTGTCAGTAAGTGTTAGTAACTAAAACAGACTAGGACCCATGTTCTGCACAGTTGGACTTCCAGCCCATGAAAGATTTATTTTTTGAGCTAAGTTGTTTTCTCCTTGGATACCCCCCACTAACAAATTAATATTTGGGGGAAGAGAACCCATATTGAGCATTTTTCAACCGTTATGATTTATTGTGAATTAATTATATTAGAAATGTTTTTTAAGAACTGAATTGAGAATAGGCTAACTTTGATTGTGGAAAGTGACAAGAGTAGTGGTGTAATGTTAGTGTGGTGCCTCTGGAAGGAGGCCCTGGCGTGGAGTGGGGTGGTAAAGCCTTGTGGGGTAGGGGCACCCTAAGGGGGCACAGAGGACAGAATCTGCCTAACTCCCAGTGATTCTTACTATGTTGAGCAATTTCAAAATTGATTAACTGGTCTAATAAATTAAATGTCCCATGCACAAGGTTGGCTTTTTATATTGGAGATTAAATAGCTTCCTAGTCATATAACTTGAGGGGTGCTTAGAATTATCTCCCTTTTTGCCCTAAAAAATCTCTTCTTACTATTTAATTGTGGATAATTTCTAAAATTATGGATTACTTTCTGGAGTTTATGATTTGCTAATGTCACTAAAATGCAGGTACTCTTAAGACAATGCCATAAGAATCCACATATTTTATTGTGAGCTCAATGTCAAATCCTTTCCTAGGACGAGGAAAGAGATGGGAGGCGGTGATGGGGGCACCAGAAGCTGATGTAGGAAGCTTCTGGCAAGTAAGGAAAAGGAAGCTGGCACTGCTTTGTCAGAGGACCAACCTTTTCTAGTCTACAGGGCTCATGTTAGACCAGCTGTATAGTGCCTCTTCCTGGAGTCACAGGAGGTCCTAAGAGACTTTAGGGAAGAAATATTGTCTATCTCTTGTTTTGGGGCTGGCATTTACATTCCTGAGCTCGTTAAGACATTATTGATTTATTTAGTGTCTCCCAAAGCACTGAAGTGCTAGATACTGGCCTACTAAATGGGGGAGCTTACTACAAAGGGGTAACACTTCTGTCTTCTCATCAGCAGAGCAATCACTTTGTTTGAATGGATCTACCCCCTTTTCTTGATGGATCCAGGTATGATTAACTGCATGAGTTTTCATGGACTGCCTGAGGTTGGGCTTGAAATAAAGAATTGGAAGGAACTTGGCCAGTGTAGTCATTAATTTTTTTTTAGAAGGTGAGGTGCCTTTTGGTGGAATGGACAGTTTCCATAGCCTCTCTCAGTCCATGTAAACAGCACATTTCTTATACTGATGTCATGTGTTCCCGAAGATCAGGGAACCAGCAGTGCCCGGTGCTGCTCCATACCAGGGTGGTCATTTCCAAAGGCATAATGAATGTGAACAGTGCCCTTGGGGACCAGTCGATCAGAGCTGCTTTGGAAGAGTGTCTATCTATCATAGCAGTGGGGAGGGAGAATGCACATTTCACATTTTACCAACAATGCAAAAAAGCCATTGACATTTTGAAATGTTCTGAAGTGGAATGTGTTGCCTCCTCATAAATTAATCACCCAGATCTAGAAATTTTCAAATTCACTGTCTTTCCACTTGACTGTGTTGTTTGAGGGGAGGGCGCAAGGAATGAGCAGAGGGGAAGGCTGCATTCTCAGGGCTCCAATTCTGAGATGCCATGAATCTCACACATGTGAGTAGGACATGAACTTGCCCAATTGATGACTGATAAGAATCATTAAAAACAATTTTTTTTTTTTTTTGCACCCTAAATGCTGGAGCAGCTCTAAGACTCCACAGCTGGGTACATTGAGTGTACTGATCATCCTCGATGTCCCAGAGAAGGTCAACTTGTAAAAAGGGAGAATTAATGAATTAAATAAAGAAATAATAACTTGGTGAAATTTGTTTTATTAGGTAGCAAGGATAACACATGTAGGATATGGCGCTGACTGAAGAGAAAAGGCAGTTGATGAGCAGATTTGCTAGCAATGGAGTTCAAGACCTGGAGCTTCACATAGTGCAAGCAAGCTGTTTTTTGTATTTCACATTTTCTCTCTTTCCAAAAGTTAGCTTCATGGATATGACTATTAAAGCTGATAAATTTATACTGTTTCTTGATATAATTTGATGGGAATGACAAGAAAGAGCATAATGTCTGGCAAATGTCACTGGTCATTTCAATTTTGTTTTTATTTTTAGTAGCATCATGATAGTGAATAAGGAAACCAAAGTGATTTAACAATGTGTCTCCTAGATTCTACTCTGAAGGCCATTATAATTTCTGTTGACTAAAGTTTTGGGAAGCAGTTTTTAGTGAATCGTACATCTGTATTTATGGTGTATGTTTCCCTTTTCTTGTGATGAGAACTTTAAATCTATTCTTGTAGCAACTTTCAAATATATGATACAATATTATTAACTAGAGTCATGATGGTGTCCATGGCATGCTCAAGGTTTATTTCTTTTTTAACTCTAAGTTTGTACGTTTTGATAGTCTTTACCCGTTTTACCCATCTTTCCAATGCCCTGCTTCTGGCAACCACAAACCACCAATCTGTTCTCTGTATCTATGAATTCAGTGTTGTTGTTTTTTTTTTCTGTTTTGTTTTTCTTTTTAGGTTCCGCATATGAGTGAGAACTTAGAGTACCTCTCTTTCTCTGTCTAACTTATTTTGCTTTTCAGAATGCCCTCAAGGTCCATCCGTGTTGTTGCAAATAGCAAGATTTCCTTCTTTTCTATAGCTGAGTAATATTCCATTGTATTTATATACCACATTGTTCTTATCCATTCATCCATCAGTTGACACTTAGGTTGTTTCCATACCTTGGCTATTGTAAATAATGTTGCAATGAACATGCGGGCACTTACATCTTTTCTGGTTAGTGTTTTCATTTCCTTTGGGAAATACCCAGAAGTGGAATTGCTGAATCATATGGTAGTTCTATTTTCAACTTTTTGAGGAAACTCCATGCTGCTCCGTGGCTATGTCAGTTTGGAATCTGACTAGAAGTTGTATTACTTCTTTAGTGATTTTACTTTCTGCACCTAAGAATGAAAAAGGCAAAATTGGAAGCCTAATCTTTCCTCATACTCACAAGTATATCTATAGCCCCTTCCCTCAGAAAAAAGTTGACAACCTACACTGAGTAAAATAAGGGTGGCATATAGGGAAAGCAAAATGAATGTCACTTACTAGGAAATAATTTTAAATTCATAGTGGGTATCAAATATATGGGCAGGTTTTTCTCTAAAAGAAAAAACAGAATAGACCTTTGAATTATTGAATTAAAAAATTTGGATAGGAAACAATTGAGGTACCAGAGTAAATCACCAAACATCAACCCACTTGCTGCTGAAATACTGAAAACTATTTTTTAAAGGCTTTTCTATGTAAAAGTGCTCTAATGCCTATTAAAAATTACTGTTAAAAGATAAAACACACACACAAAAAAGATAAAGGACAAGATAAAACCAGTGATGCCTGAACCCACAACTAGAGAATGCGTGAGGATCTTCTGGAGCCATTTTCTCAATAATAATAACCGTAGTCAGGGTGGCTGAGCGTGTGCTGCCTGCCAGGCACTGCCCACCCACTCCATGTAGATCAGCCATGCAACCCTTGCAGCAAATGTTTCCGAGCAGGTAACTGTCCTGATCTGAAAATGAGGTGGTGAGTCACATTGAAGGGAAATAATCTACCAAAGATACCAGATGTTAGGGATTTTGATTCCATTACATTCTCATGGGTGGAGAGTATCATATGTACTGGTAGGAAGGTCAGGGCTGAGAATTACCCTTCAGATCACCAATGGATGTCTAGCACCCAAGAAGAAAAATAAAACAAAAGCAAAGCAAAACAAAAACAAAACAAAACAAAAAACAAAACTTCAGTGTAGCTGCTGGAAGGAAGACACTCATAGATGGCAAAGCCCAGGAGAGCTTGGATTAGAGAAACCTGGGCCAAAATTTAGCTACTTCTTAGGAAACCAAGAATATTGACTCTTCCTCTTTGATGGTTTGATGGCTTTAGGGAAGGTGGCAATACTATTTTGTTACGTCGTTCAATAGAGAGAACAAATATACGGTCCTGGAGATCATTCTAAGCCTCATTGACCTATTTAGCTGTTGGAAGCCCCTCAGTCAGAGAAAGTTCCTCTAATTTTTTTAAGCTTCCTCTAATTCTCATGAAGAAATCTTTCTTTATAGAATACTTATTAAGGTTTCCAGTAGTATTTTTTTTTTTTTGAGAGAGAGAGAGAGCACACATGCACGAGCTGGTGGGAGGGGCAGAGGGAGAGAGAATCTTAAGCAGCCTTCATGCTTGGTGTGGATCCCATGTGGGGCTCGATCTCATGACCCTGAGATCATGATCTGGTCTGAAATCAAGAGTCTGATGTTTGACCATCCAGTAGCATTTTTTTTTATTATTGAAGTGTGGTTGACATACAATGTTGTATTAGTTTCAGATGGACAACATAGCGATTCAACAATTCTGTCCATCACTCAGTGCTCACCATGAGATGTGTCATCACCATCTGTTCCCATACAACATTATTATAGTATTATTTACTATATTTCTTATGAAATAAGTACTTCTCATGCCTATGACTTATTTTATAAGTGGGAGTTTGTTCTTCTTCCAGTAGTATTTTTTAAGCTACTTAAAAAAATAAATGTTTAGATATTTAAGATCATAGAATAAATGATAATACCCTCACCTTTTTTTAATCTAGAGTATTATAGGGTATAAGTGAGGTGCATGTGGAGTCTGGAATCAGAGTGCCTGGATATATATTCTGATTCCAATTCTCAATTGTTGGGCAAGTTCCCCTACCATGCTTCCTTCATTCTTTCAGCCAGAAAAGGGTGATAATAATCATTCTTGTTGTGAGGACTGAGAATATCTGGCACATCACAAGCATGATAAATATTTCCTATTATTCTTATAATCAGTAACTTAGCCGTCATCTTAAAAAAACTGATATATGAACACATTTCTCAGAAAGGAACATAGCATTAATTATTCAGAAATGATAGCTGAAATACAACTTTAATGTATTATAGGTATCCCGGGGAGAAATATAGCTCAAATTTTTATCAATGAAAATTTAAGAACCCTGGGAACATTGTTCTTTTAAGGTTTCTCTCTTGAACAGAGGAGCTGAGATGTGAGGCCATCATCAGTATAAATGATTGTGGTTTAATCCATCTTCATATATTCAGATTCAGGATAGGATTTTAAGAAAGTGAATCATCCTCATAAAAATGAAATATCTTTTCTAAGAACTCATATCTAAAACTGCAGGAGCTCACGATTTAGCATAATGCCTGATTTAGAGATAAAATAAATGCTTTTCGAACTAAACAGTGCTTTCTAGACATGCAACTTCTGCATTGCCTTTTAAAAACACATCAGTAACCTTTTAAATCACATGCAGATTATCTTCTGTCTTTCCACGGGTGCTGTTATCTTCAGTTTACCTTGTTGGGTATCCAAAGGGGGGAAATCTGTAATAGAAGGAAAAAGCAATTACTATATTTGAAGACATATCCCTTCTCAAACACGAAGAATCGTAAACTGACTCAAAATATCTATAACCCTTTTAGTTATCTTACCAAGATTATTTTATTTTTTGTTCAATTCAACTACACTGTTACATTGGGTAGGGTGGTTTTGGCTGTAAGTGTCAAAATGCACAGTTAAAACAAAGTCAGCCCCAAAGTTGGTTACTTAGTGGCAAGATGCCCCAAGGACTCAGGGTTTAGGGGCATTCCCCTTTGCCATCCTTATTGGCTCATCCTCAGTGTCCTTCCAAGCTGCAAAATGGCTGACATATTTTCTTTGGTCTAATCATCTTGTCATCTCTTTAATCTCACCCAATCCAGAAGAGAACATCTCACTTCCTTTTCTAGGACTTCCATTTATCCTGATATTTTAGCAGTTCTATTCCTGCCGCTGATGGCAATAATCTCGTTTTTCCGTTATTTATTTTCTCTATGTGCCCACAAAATCACAAATGTTTTCCTCAATTAAAAAACAAATCCTAGCTATCCAGTCTTGTTGCCATTTTTTTTAAAAGATTATATTTATTTATCTGACAGACAGAGATCACAAGTAGGCAGAGAGGCAGGCAGAAAGAGAGGGGGAGCAGGCTCCCCGCTGAGCAGAGAGCCCGACATGGGGCTCCATCTCAGGACCCTGAGATCATGACCTGAGCTGAAGGCAGAGGCTTTAACCCACTGAACCACCCAGGGGCCCCTTGTTGCCATTTTTATCTGTAATCTCTAATCCCACTACCTCTGTACTAGAAATCAAGACAATCTTCTAGTTACTTATCCTGGCTTCCTTTTGCTATATTAGATGATTGCTTTCTAAAGCAAACAGGGAGAAAGCAAAACAAAACAAAAAACCTTTCCAAATATTTGCATGTTTTATGGTTTACAAGACTTTTGCCTCAGTTCATTTAATAAAGAAGAATGATGTAGGAATTAATAGAACCTAAATTTAGAGTTGGTAATACATAATTGAGTAGAGGGAGGGTGGCTTCCCTGGATCAATCGGTCAGTGGGTTGCCAGACATGAATTCAAACCCAGAAAGGCTATGTCCTATATATAGCTCAAAGAGATCTTAAATAACGATGTGCTGCCTGAGTTTTTCCACATGATTATTGTGCTGTACTAGCATGTATGTTTTTAATTGTCTAGATTTCTTTTAAATCCCCTTGAATAACTTCTAAAACATAAACATTATGAAGGATGGTGTTTTCCAATTAATTAAAGTTTGAGTTTGAACCATTATTATGCATGCAATTATTTAGTAATGGGGTCCCAATTCCTGTGGCCTGGTAATCATAAATTCACACTTCTCCTAGCAATTATATCGCAACAGAGTAGAATTGGTTATTCCAAACTTTACAGATACTAAATGAAAATTAAAAATAAAAACTTTTGGAA